GACCATCCTAGCTGTTGTATACAGGCTGGGTTCCTCGTACTTTGTGGTAAGCCTTGTAATTTTTTCGCAATATTCCGATGTGCAGTCTCCATTCTATCATAGTCAGTGTCTTTCAAAGGGAGAAGGTTCAATCCATACGTCATGGTTGGTACACAGATTGACCAGTAGAGTTTGGATGCTGTCAGGGGATTTGTGGGATTGTTATTGCTTGTGGTTGTTCCGATATACGCTATCATCGCCCTTCTGCCTTTTGAGATTCGTGTATCGATAAATTCCTTGTTTGATGTACTTTGTGTTAGTGGGAGTCCTACATGTTCGATATTCGTAGTTACCGGGATATTGTGGTGTCCAAGTTTAAGAGTCAGTCGTTTCTGTGTTGCGTTATTTGTAAATGTTGTGATCTTGCATTTATTAGGATGAAAGGTGAATCTCCATTTGAGACTGTAACTGTAGACGTGATTTAAAAGTGCCTGCATTGTTTTGGGATGATATGCCAATAGGTTCATGTCGTCAGCAAACGTAGGACATGTGCAGACAATGTTACCTATGGAGCACCCTTTGTTGGTGTCACATATTTCATTCAAAAGCTCGTTAGTGTATCTGGCGTAGAGATCCATGGACCAAACCCCTCCTTGGTGTACTCCCTGCTGGACTGGGAACGGCTTTGACACATTTGTATTACAATTGAGGAAGTGATGCATTGCTTCTGTCATGGACGAATTGCTCATGATGCCTTTATCACCATCTGCATTTGCTGTTACGTGATCGGTTTGATACGTTTGGCCTATGTTTAGTTTTACTGCACATGTGTATCCATCGTAGCACTTGATAAGTAATCTCCAGAGCTTTCCATTGATTCCTTGTCTGTACAGTTTATGGTAGAGTCCTTCGTGCCACACCCCATCGAAAGCTTTACGGATGTCCATAGACGCAATAATGACGTCACTTCCGTTTTCCAATCCGGAGGATATCGCTTCTCTAGTTATCAGGGAGGTGTGGAGGCTCGAACATTTTGGGACATTAACTCCTTGCATATTACATGGTCGGTCAATGCGTTTACATTTTTGGCTTCTGCTCATCATAATCCTTTCTAAGACCTTCATGTACATAGTCATTAAAGTAATGCCTCTATGGTCGTCTTTTGACAGGATATCTTTGTTTCCTCCCTTAAAGAGCGGAATGAGGATTCCTAACTTGAAGCTCTCTGGAACGTACTCTCTTACAATTAATGCATTATACAATTTTGTCAAAATGCTATTGAGACCGTCCCCGCCATACTTCAGGTGCTCGGGCGTGATCATGTCCCATCCAGGAGCTTTGCCGATTTTTAACTTTGATATTACCTTTTTCATCTCATCGCATGTAATTGGGTCGTTAAAGGCACCATCATCATTTCTCCAGCTTTCTGTTTTCATGGTCATAACCTCCGATCTTATCTTCAATAAAAAGTCATTATCGAACTCAGGATTAATCTTGTCGGATACAAGGTGTTCAAAGTATTGTTTCCACTCATTTAGGACATCTGTTGGTTCAGTTAGAACCTCCCCTTTACCATTTCTGATTAGGGCTGAACTCTGCGGTGATCTTCGGCGCTTTTTGATTAGATACCAGAACTTGTTCAGTGAGAGATCTGCGGCATCGTCAATTTCCCTTTGGCACTTTAATTCGTAGTCGTTTTGTGCTTTGCGTATTTCCCTTCGAAACTCCCTTTTAGCATTTTTGTATTCTCTCCAGTATGGGTTGTCCTGTGATCTTGGTTTTCCATGGCGTTTCCATTCGTTCCAGGTTGTTCTCTTTTGTTTCATGACTCCCTTAAGTACAACTGTCCAATATGGTTTCAAATGCTTGTTAAATTTTCTCATGGGTATTGTGAGCTCTGTAACCTTTTTTATAATGACCGTTATCTTATCAAAGAGTGACTCTAGTAATTCGTCGTCTATGTCGCAATTGTCTCCTATTTGGCTTTCTATAATCTTTAATTCGGACCCTAAAACTTGTCTGTATTTAGCTTTTTGCTCGTCAGTTACTTTGTTCCATGCGGGGCTAGAGGGTGTGCTTGAGTTAAATATCTCACTTTTGTTTTGGCATTGGACATCTAGCTTAATTTGAATTGGGAGATGATCTGACATATTGGTTAAGCACTCATCTATAACGTTTACACTAATACATTTAGGTTTGATACACTCGGAGATTAAAACATGATCTATATATGATTCGCCTGTATAATCCCTATAAAACGTATAATTAGGCCCTTTGCAAATTGGAAACATGTCTATTGGAATGAGACCGTTTCTTCTGCACATATTTAACAACATTGTGCCGTTGTGAGAGGGATCACCATTACCCCGTGTCCCTATGGAATTACCTAAATCGGCGTTCATGTCACCAATCACTACACAGTTGCTGTTATCGTTTGTTGCCTCGTCGACAATTGTTTCAAGTTGATCTAAAACCTCAAGGAAGTTTGCATTCTTGCATTGCGAGTGAGGCAGGTAACAACATATTACGTACAGGCTTGAGAATGGAGGTTGCATTACCTTAATTACGATGAGACGGTCAGATTTATACTTAGACACAGGAACTATGCAGTGATTCAGTGACTTCCGCCATATAATGCCAACACCACCGTTGCCTATAACATGCCCTTGATCCAAAGGATCTAATGTTCTGCTGCTAGCTGCAGTGAAATTAAAGTCAGAGTTTATGTTACTTAGCTCGTTTAGAGCACCTTCATACAACCAGTGTTCATTTATACAAACAATGTCAGAGCATTCAGAAAGATGGCGTAAGATGGTTATTGCCATATAGTGACAATAATTATGCAAATATATCTGCATCTGCAAAGGCTACCAAAATTGTTACACATTGACCAATTGTATATGTAAACATAATACAAGGGTTGTTCAAAAAGTTTTGCACAGATATACCTAATTATGAAAATAATGAAACAATCTTATTCATAGTCGATAGGTATCTGCCCCCATCTTATTCCCTCACATTATCAAGGTTTCATATACAGGGTGATCACTAAGTTCTGGGAATTAATCTGTCATTTCATTATTTTTCAACCAATTCACTTGAAATTTGCATGGTAAATGAGGAATGTAATTTTGGGTTGAATAAAACAGTCTCATTGTCATATGATGTCACAATGGATAATTATTGTTACTATAGCAACATGACCAATGGCGTAGCGGGTCAAGCAAAATTTGAATTCATTTTTATTTTACTTGATCCAAAGTATGGTTGATTAATACCTATATGCCGGGCATGTTTCTGTGATTTTTTATGTTTTATGTTAACATTTCTAAAGTAACATCTGTATTGTAATAAAAGAGTGTACTTTGCTCTATTTTGTTATCATTTGTCAGACGCTCAAAGTCACAATCATGACTCAAAATAGCAGGGAGTTTATCTTCCATTATGGCTATGCTCCTTCCCTCTGCTCAAACTGTCTATACTACTCTTGAAGAATTAGGGTTCACACAAGTTGTTAATGCCCCAAATTCACCATATGATATTCACCAGATGGGTCACCATTAGGCTTTACTACATTTGGGCTGTTGAAACATCATATGAAAGGTCATTAGTTTATAATAAGTGTATAAGGGAGTGATTCCAAAGGCTTGAGCAAATCTTCAAGAGTTACCAAAGGGAGGACTGGAAAACATTTTTATGAACTAGGTTTGTCAACAATGCATTTGCGTCCAGACTAATAGAAACCATTATAAATGAAATTATCCTCTCAGCACTGAAGAATACTTTTGAATAAATGACTTCAAGAGTACTAATGTCTGCCTCTAGTACAAGTAGTTTGATGCAACTATCTAGGCAAGATGAATATGTTTTAGCAGGAAATTTTCAGATAAACATCAGTCAAAATTTGCTGACCCGCTGACCACTTTTACATTTTTTATAATTTCAATAAAATTTACTGTAGAAGCCATATGTATATGAACCCTTGTCTGTCAATTCAGAATTGTTTAATGTATACCTGCTGAAAATTTCAACTCAAATTGTTGAGAAATCTTGAAATGGCAGACAAATTCCCAGAACTTAATGATCACCCTGTATATACGTCTACTAGTTAACATTTTACGGCTGCTATAGTAACCAAGGTGATGTCGCCATGGTCCATATCATTTTGTAAAAAGAAAAAAGTAATATAAAGAACAATTACTAAACATGCTAAATTTACTAACATAAACTGTCAATTCAAATTAAAACAATATCTAGTATTGTTCTCATGGCAAAAGTGAATCTTATATCAATATTTCCCACCTTGTTTTCTTTTGTTATGCCAAATAATGATCATATTAACATACTCTTCAAACATCTTCAAAAATAACCTGATTTTATGACGTTATCAGGGGTTCTCATGAATTCATGAAATATTGGAGAATATGGCTCGAAATAATAAAGTTGAAGCAGAAAACATTGATAGAATACATGATAAAGAATGAGGAAACAATATTACACAAGTTATATTCATTCATGCATTGACATATTGCATATGATGTCTCCAATAGGCATTGTTAAGTATTCCAAGATGGAAATAGAGAAGGGAAAATGTATTGAGGGTAGCTGAAGTTATGAGAAGAGTTAACATCCTATAGGTAGGATGGTTCAGACATTTACTTTTGGAGTGGACATAATGCTACAAGTAATGCATTACTGATAAGGAAGACTAGATATTAATTACTATATATTTAGATTAAATATAAATTAGTTATAGCATAAACTGACTAACAGCTGACAGAACAAAGATTAACCAAACCATTTCAGCCTATGAAGATATTCACAAAATCAATTCAATTCAATGACGTCATATGGACCATGGGCCCATTGGTTCAAATTTTGATGTCAATGTATCTCAGAAAGTTAATTGCCTACGGTCCTCAAATTTCACATATGGTTGTTAGAAGGGTGATACTATATCTGTATAAAATCTGTAAATATAGTGTATATAAACATAGAACTTATGCAATTGTATTATTCAGGGGGTAAAGCCCGTCCTAGGCCTACTGATCCACCGAGACGTACTACCATACAGGCCCCCACTAAAAAACCATCGACAAAACCGGATACCTGTACGACAAAAATTGACGCAATCTTGCAAGCGCATAATGGCAAAACTTATGTGTTCAAATATAAATGGATGTGGGAACTTACTGACAATGGTGTTGTCAAGGGTTTCCCACGATTGGCGAGGAAATTCTTTACGAAACCCCCCTATAATCCAGGCGCAGTTGTTTATTCGAGAAGGACTAGGAAAACATATTTTTTCAAAGGTAACGTTGTGAAGGATAAAAGGAGCAATTATTCAAATATCATATTAATACATGTACCTTTGTGCATTATGCGCATTTTATTGTATTGTGTTATAAAAACTTCATCCCCATCCATATCAAGTTTGGATGACAGAGACTTCGATATCTGATTCCTGAATTCCTATATCTCTGAGGAAAACTAGTTTGGTATAATTGTGATTTATGGCAAAAATACTTCATGTACCAGGTGATAGATGGCATAGATGTTGATTTCTTTTGATATTGCGAAAAAACATTTCATCGTAATTTAGACTTATATTGCAGCTATATATAGAATGAATCAAAATTAACAAATATTTCGAATGTTACTCTCATTGCAGACAACCGTGTATGGCGGTACAATGGCTTTAACTTAGAAACTGGCTTTCCTAAGCGCATTAAGGACAAAGCATACCCAAGAGGACCACAGGCAGCTTTATGTGATGCTTCAGGAAGAATCCTTCTCTTCAAAGTGCGTAGATAACCGCTAGCACATCTAAGTGATGTAAACTTAACAAGTCATTAACATGACAAAATGTCACCACCTATTTGCTCACAATATTATGAGTTCAGATTTAAGTCAGATTTGAATTGAATTGAATTCATGAAGAGAACTTGTAGATGATTTTGAAAAAATGGTCAATTTGAATCAAGATGAAAAATACCTTTTTGACCTTGGGAATGTCATTGAAGGTCAAATCTTTTTTTAACTTCAGAATGTCACTAAAGGTCAAATCTATCGCTAGATTTGAACTTTTGAGAACTTGTAGACGAGTTTGAAAAAAAATTGGTCAATTTGAAGCATGTTGAAAAAAGACCATTGAAGTTCAAATATCAGATTTGAACTTACATGTATGATAAATTTGTAGATGATTTTGAAAATTGGTCAATTTGAATCAAGTTGAAAAAATACCTTTTTTTTACCTTTTTAACCTTTTTTGACCTTTAAAGGGTCATTGAAGGTTAAATCTTATATGTAAAGTCAGCTTTGAACTTCTGAAAACTTGTAGATGATTTTGAAAAAAATTGAACTCAGTCTAAACAGTATTTTTTAAGTTATTGGAAGTTGTAAGAATCTGTTACAGACACCGATCGCCAGCCGCCAACCGCCGTCGAAAAACGGAGACCATAACAATATGTCACCAGTAAAAAGTACTAGTTTCAATTATTTACACAATATATTGATTAATGATTTATGTAATGCATAGAAAGAAATACAGGAGTTGTAGACAGAAGAAGATGTATTGGAATCTCTCTCGATATCTTACCCTGTACATGTAAATTTCAATTTTGGGAGCGGACTGTGTGCTCATTAGAGAGAATACGGCGATGCTCTCGTTTTCATTTATTATACATGGGAATCAAAATGAACTTCTCGCAGATAAAATGCATATCCCAAAAGCTTAAAATTATTCCGGAAATACAATATATCACGAATTGTACTTTTAAAGTTATCAATTAAATATAATTGACAATAACTTTAAAATGCAAAGCACAAAGACCGGTATTTAGACAGAAATATATTGTAAGGTGTGGTCACCATGACATGTTAATGAACATGCAAATATTTATTTTGAACGACCCTCGTATACAAGGTACACAAATGAGAACCTTTGTCTCCACCTGGAAACGATAGATCTATTAAAACGGACGAATGGGATGTTTATACCTTGTGTATACATGTCATTGTATAGAATATATCAATCTTCTATTTCAGAATTATCGCATTTACCAGTACAACGAGTATTCCATAAACGTTGACGCCATCGCACCGAGACTCATTACAGATCAGTTTCCAGGACTACCTAATGAGTTTGCTAATGTCGAAGCGGCCCTCAGATATAAAGATGGCTACCTCTACTTCTTCAAAGGTGCAAAGTAAGCGGACGTTTGTTAAAATATGTGTTTTTCGAAGTATGGCCAATGTGGACCTGTCCTCTTGTTATTCACTTCATCCATTTTAGATATATTTAAACAACATTATACGACATGGTATATAATGGAAAGTTCTTCAATATTAAACGTTACCATTTTATATTCCAGTTACCGTAAATACGATGAAAGGACCCAACGCGTTCTTCCAGGCTACCCGAAGGCCAAAGCCCCTTCCTGGATGGGCTGTGGACGTCGAACTCCAAAATAAATGCACATGGACAATTTAATATAAAATCGCTGCATGCTGTTTATAAATTGCTAGATTTTACTATAATATCAGTTTATTATAGTATACTAGTATTCCTATAATAGTATCAGGGGCCCGTCATCGAAAATATCCTTTCAACCTGCAGTTAACGGATTCAGGATATTTTTTGAAGCGATTTTGATCTTATTATTCTCTATATATGTTTTACTATGTACTTGGCATGTATATCTATATTATCTACTATGTAGTTTACTTTACTAATAATGATTATATTTATTCATATATCTCACATTTGTGATTTTATGACATGGGGTCCATGGGGAATTTCCACGACCTATCAAAGAAATTAAATTTTCAAATCTGATAAACACTTTCAAAACCACATTAGATGTACCTGGGTGGGCATAAAAAATGGACCGTACTTTGTATCTGATATCTCCCAGTCTCCAAAACCTTTTTACCTCTAATTTGAGAAAACAGTATGGCAATTGATTTTAGACAGTCATATATTAAACCATGAATACTTTCTGGGCATAAATACAACTTGTTTTTTATTAAAACAATATGTTTCCTTTCAAGTAAAGTACCCATGGTGATAAAAATATCAATCGAACAATTCGAAAATATATGAATATGGACGGACATGTCAACATTTTTTCAAAATGTTGAACCTATTTAATTACTCAAAAGAGGATCTTCTTTTTCTGGTTTTTATTGCATGAAAAGATTATTCAACAAGGGTCTAAAACTTCTTCAAAAGTAGAATGGTATCGAAAGTCTAGTTTTGAAGATATCAATTCTCGATGACCAAAATTATGCTGAAAACAACATGGGAAAATAACATGGGATATGTAGTTTTTAACTTTAACGGATTTCAATCCGCATCCCCTTTTCAGGAACCGTTAATATAGTGTAGGAGAAACTGTTGATATGTTTAAATTGAGAAAAACAAGATCCTCTCTTTAGAAAATGAGCTTAACGTTTTTAAAAAGTGCAAAGGTGGGGTAATCCATAATTTTTCAGAGAGTTAGAATGACATTTTACTACCATGGGGACTTCACTTGAAAGAAAACATATTGTTTCAATAAAAAACATTGTATTGATGGCCAAAAAGTACCCATGGTGAAAGATATGACCGTCTAAAATCACTTGTCATACTGCACATGGACCTTTACACCTGTGTAACCGCTGTCTTTTGATCGATACGTTATCTTTTTCTGTTTTTGTTTTTCTGTACTCAAGTACTCTCAAGTACTCAAATATGAGAAAAATAGTACACTTGGTATCTCAGGCCGATCTGTTTTATGAATCACATGGCGGTCAAACATGAGACAAGTATAGCAATTCACCTGGTTAAGGTGGCCAATATTGTTGACACTTTTTCAAATTTGTCTTCGCAGAAAATTTGGGTATTTCTTGGCAACATGATGTTCAAACAAGGAATTTCATTTTAACATTCTGGTGTCGATTTTCAATTGGTGGAGTGATGTTCAACCCCCCTTCCTGTTTGTGTTATGAATGAAAGGGTTTGCGCTGAAGATACATTTATGCATTTGGCATTTCTTGCCTAACATTGTGTCATATATGTATGCCATAGATTTCACGATTTCTTTTGCATGATAAAAATTGGGATGAACAAAAGATTGACTTTTTGACTCATCCTGTATGCATCTGCATCGTTGTCAAATCGTTATTACTACTTCAAAAACAAAAAAACACGATCGCACCTAAGATAATACTGTACGAGTGCAATCATATCTGTTTAAGAGCTGAATTATCAATGTGCTAAGGCCCTCGCCAATAGTTTGTCTGAATCGAATGATGTAAATGATGCACATGGGTTTCGAATCAAAGGTGAAGCTCCTACAAAGCTAGCGTTTCAATTTCTGTCAAATATCATAAACACACAACAAGACTATACTCCTACAACACTATTTTAAAATGACCAGAAATTGCAAACAAATTCTTTTTAATTATATATAAATGCCAATAAAAACAAGAGAACAGAAAATAACGCATTTACGACCAGGTTGGAATTGAATGCTTGAGCGCAAGGGAGAAAAGAACAATAATTTAAAAGAGCAATTACGATACTCAACAGGAAAAGAAAAACATTTTATCATTCGGAATTTTACTCTCGTTCTGTTACAGCAACTGCTAACATTCAATAGTATTCTCATTCATACGTCAAAACAATAGAAAATACCACATTCAAGAAAAGCATGTGATCGTTCTTATGAAAAAATATCGCAAATATCTCTGATCAAACGCAGTTCAACCCAATGTTAAAACGATCAAGGTCAATGTTATGAAATATCTCTTCAACAGTTCATCTTGTTATTGGATAGTCTGGCTATACGCCCATTTACGAGGTATTTGTGCATGTCAACAGGCCCTTCATACGTAACCCATAGATAATGTGCAGTTCAAAATAATTCAGCAGAACGAAATTTATAATTAAGAAATACTGCACGAAGATTTGTAAGCGGAATAAAATAATGATGAAGACGCTTGTTATAATCTCAATACTGACATGCCTTTTGAAATGTGAGTATATTTTTAAAGATGAATATATCGTATAGGAGAATGCACCAGTATGGGTCCTTCCATGTATGAGCATTCCAAAAATATTGATTACATTTTATTTAGCCTTTATTGCAAGACAGACTTAAAAGCAGACTTAAAAAGATAAGAACCTAGATTTCAAATTTTGTAGGGAAACGTACATGTTGAACAACGAAGCGTTTCAAAACATTTCCCTTCAACAACCCGGATATTTTTTCAAATACGAAACTACGGATTTTTTATAAATACGACTATACCTGTATTCTTGGTTTTTATTCAGTAACAAATGCCCAAACCAACTGTACCGGAAGTCCCGACAGACTTATTACTTATGGATGCAGGGCATTCACAGCCTGCAAAAATGAGAAGTACGTCAATGTAGAATGCCCACCAGGTCAAGTCGTTGACGTTGAACGTATCTTATGTGACAAGTAAGTTTTATAGATATTTTCTCTCAATATTGTTGTCGCACTTACACTTATTGCAACAGAAACGACTTCAATAATGGAGTTCTCAAAATATGTTTCAGGGCAGATATACCTCCAGGTATTTTGGGAGAAAATAATGCTAAATGGGGCAAATTATATGACCTGGTTCCAATACATGCATGTTATTGAACTAAAATAATGGTATATGTACATGGAATGAACAGTAAATACAGAGCCAAACATGTGATTCTATCAATATTTTGATTGTGTACCAATAGAAACATATGGCATCTATAATTAGAAGCAAAATAAACCATGAAAATTTGTCAATTCTGCAACTTTTTGCTCAAATACACTTATTTTCAATACGCAAGATTGCGTTTTCGCGAGCCGAGATGCACTAAAAACAAAATTTCTCAGCTAAAACTCAACCAATATCCAAAATGTTTACACTATATTATAGCCAATGATATGTCCTATGAGATTATTTAAAAAAAACATTATCTATTCAGTATTTTAGGTCCTTGGTTGTGATTTGTTTCCCATTCCCCCATTTTTCGATATATAATTTCGTCAAATCTAGGAATTTGCACACGTTTTTTTGTCCTAAAAAGGTAGATACTGTATACATCTATTACGTTTAATAACCTTTTCTGACTAAAAAACCTTATATGAGCCTGGTCATAGGAAAACCGGTCTTATCACAAAAAATGAAAATTGTGCTACAGATCCAAAAATGTGCCCAAGATTAAGAGGAAATGTGCTAAATTCAAATCCGACGTTTTGGTCTATATATGCAAGGAAAAATTGGTAAGACATAAGCCATGGTTCATTTGAAAGGTCTCTTTGTGCTTTCTAAAATAAATCTGTGATAAGACCCCTTTTCCCGTGGCCTGGCTCATATGTTGTTTAGAAAATACGCAAAAAGCTCACCCCTATCTTACTTTGACATACTTCTGTCCCCATTTTACCTAATTTTTGAGAATTTAATACAGCCCCTTCGAGAGTTCTGAATGACCTACAATATCAGTGATACCTTACTTTTTACTGTACCTCTTCAACTTTTGAAACGCCATTAGTGTTATGAATAATATGGGTGGTGTTGGCTTCTATATCAAGGATACAATTCATGTTAAAGAAAGGCCAGATCTTCAATTTAATAATTTCGGTTGTGATGTACTAACAATTGAGGTAATTGTAAACAATGGTAAAAACATTCTCTTAAACTGCATATATAAGCCTCTGAATGTTGATATTGATGAATTTAACAATGGTTTAGAAGTATATTTAAATAATATCTCAAGAGAAAACAAAACAATCTACGTAATGGGCGATTTTAATATTGACTTATTTAAGACTAATCAGCATGAACCAACTGAAAACTTTTACAACACCATGACTTCTTATAATTTAATACCACTTATTTATAAAGCAACCAGGGTTACTTCAAGTACAGCAACTTTAATTGACAACATTTTTACAAATGATTCTAAAAATGGTTTATGTGGAATAATTTTCAATGACATTTCAGATCACTTCCCAATATTTGCTACTTTTAATAAAACAATCCATCAGATTAAAGTTGTCAAGAAATCAATTAGGAAATACTCTGAAAATAATCTTATTACCTTTCAGGAAAAATTATCAAATGAATCATGGACAGATACAATAAATAGTGATGATACAAATGCCTCTTATAACCTATTTGAAGATCGCTTAAAGGAAATATATGATGAAAGTTTTCCAACAAAAACAGTATCTATTAAATTATATAATAACAATGAAAAACCTTGGATCAGTTCAGCCATACTTGTATCTGTAAGACACAAAAGTAAATTATATATAAAAAAAATATCTTCGTACACCAACAAATCAAAATAAGGAAAATTACAAAGTTTATTCCAAAATGTTAAAAACAGTCATAAGATCAGCACATAAGCATTACTTTAGCCAAAAATTTGAGGAAAATCAAGGAAACATTAAAGCAAATTGGGAAATTATCAATGAAATTCTCCAAAGAAAAAATAAAAACCACAATATCCCAGACACATTTTTCCATAATAATACTGAAATAACAAATAAACTTGACATTGCCAATCAGTTCAATTCTTTTTTTTCAAAGGTAGGTGAGAGCCTAGCAGCACAAATTCCCCCTTCTAACAAAAGTCCTTTAGACTATATGCGTAATATTGGAAGACAGGCGTCGACTTTATTTTTGAATCCCATCGATTCCAAAGAATTAGACATGGAAATATCAAAATTGAAAAACTCTGCGGCCGGTTTTGACGATTTCAAACCTTCTATAATTAAGCATTGTGGTAAGGCATTCCAAGTACCATTATTACACATTTTTAACTTATCTCTATCAAATGGTATTTTTCCTGACAAATTAAAGATTGCAAAGATCATACCAATTCATAAAAAGGAAGACAGACAACTTTTTACTAATTATCGACCTATATCGATTTTACCAGTTTTTTCCAAACTTCTTGAGAAATTAATGCACCATCGACTGACTTCTTTTCTGAACAAAATAGAAATCATGTATCTTTATCAATTTGGCTTTCGGGAAAAAAAATCGACATTTATGGCAGTTCTTACATTTGTTGAAAAAATCAGAAATTCTATAGACAAAGGTGAACTCTCTATTGGGGTATTTCTTGACTTTTCAAAAGCTTTTGATACTATTGACCACAATATTCTTTTTCAAAAACTTGAATTTTATGGGATTCGTGGTATAGCACTGGAATTGGTAAAAAGTTACTTTTCTAACAGAATTCAAAAACCTGTTATATAGACACTATTTCAGATCCCGAGATAATTACATGTGGAATTCCTCAAGGTTCTGTGTTAGGTCCCTTGTTTTTTATCATATACATAAATGACATTTACTTATCTTCTCCACGATTATTTTTTGTGCTATTTGCAGATGACACCAATTTGTTAATACAAGGAAAAAATCTTAATGAAATTACTAACGCTTTGAATGCTGAACTGAAACTAATCGAGGAATGGATAGCCACAAACAAACTTTCGTTAAATGCCAAGAAAACTAAATATATAATATTTTCTTCAAGACAAAAGCAATATAATAAAAATGATATAATTGTCACGATGAATGATAAAGTGCTTGAGCAAGTGTCACATATAAACTTTTGGGGAATTATAATTGATCAAAATCTTACCTGGAGAAATCACATCACATCAGTAAACATGAAAATTTCAAGAACTATTGGTATTTTATACAAAGTGAAACATTTATTAAACGCTAAAAGCTTACTTAGTATATATTACTCACTAATCTATTCATATCTTATTTATGGAAATATAATTTGGGGTGAAGCTAGTTCAACAAGTTAAACCTAGTCTGGGCCTTATTTCTTATCTGACATATCTTGTGGCCCGCCCTAGGTTTAACTTCCGTGCCTATTCAGCCCTTGATGCAAAAATATTTAATGGTGGCCTATGGTTCCGCATGGAATTCGATGCGCGTTTAATTAATAACTGATGGTGGGAATTTGCAACAAACGAAAGCATAGCACGGAAGTTAAACCCAACCACGGCAACACGAACATTCAGATTAAAAAATGAAAGCCGTGGTATTGGGTTTAACTTGTTGAACTAGGGTGAAGCAGGCTGCACATTACTTAATACTCTTCATCTCTCACAGAAAAAATTTGTAAGGATTGCAACAAATAGCGACTACAGAGCCCACTCTTTACCTCTTTTTCAAAATTTAAGAATCTTGAACATATTTGAGATAAATAAGCAACAAAGATATTTATTCATGTTTAAATGGATCAATGACAAGGACAATTACAAGCAAATATTTCTTAATTTCTTCCAAACAGTTGAAAACAGACACAATTATAATACAAGAAACAAGAAAACTTTTGACAAACCTAAAATCCGTACAAACTATGGAAAATCAATGTTATCATATTCTATACCTGAAATTTGGAACCAACTACCCCCACATTTTAAATCCATCAGAAGCATCATCCTCATGAAAAAACAGATTAAAAAATATTTGCTACAACTTTAATTTTTTTAGGGGCAATTTGATGGCACAATTTGTATTTTTTTTATTGAGGGCATGCAATGGCAGATCCCCGCCATTTCAACATACTTTGTATTTAATTTATTCCATCTTGGGAATATACACAAACCTTTGTGTCACCCACTCATTGTATACTATATTGTATGTGTGTTTATGAAATAAACAAATTGAATTGAATACATTGTAAACATTAGGGTTAAGCGTCCCTTACATAAAAAGGAAAAATCAAGATTGAATATTATTATAACATATACTTTTCATATCAATTACCTGTGTTTTGATATATAACATGGTATGTTTCATGTTAAAAGCATTGGTCAAGAGTCTCCCGCAATATAGGTGTACTATATCTAGCTGGTTTTTCTGTAAATGACATGAGATCGGGACATATAGTATATTCTGCTGCTGATAACTAATTATTCTTTGAAACAAACTTGTTATTTGTATACAGCAGATAGCTTAACCCACAAGGCATGACACCATTTTAACCAATACCCTTGATTCTTTTATTCACTATAATAGGTCAGGATTTATAAGAAATAACTTTTTTCTTAAAGCTAAATTGTACTTATGGGAAAAAGCAGTGATCGACTGTATGAAGGGTCGCGTTCGCGCTAATAATTGTTTTTCACGTCATCCTGTTTCAGACCAGAAAATGTGCCACCACCGTGTGGACTTAGTATGAATTGTACGGGTCGCGAGGACGGTGGATATCCAGATTATTCTACCAACTGCACATCGTTTTATACCTGTTTAAATGGAGTCAATCGTGGAACTGGCTTCTGCGCCGGGGGTAAGAGAGTGGTTTTAAATATGCACTTCTGGCACTTTCAACATGATGTTATTTGATCCTTAGAAACAATATGAAAAGTGGGTACATAACACTCTAGAAATTGAGAGATGACAGTTACAAAACATAGCGGACTTGATCTCTGATTGTTCCGTTTTGTCGTTCTTCTATTATGATAGTAACGCATCTTGAGACATACAAACTTCGATGTTTTTAACATTTTTATGCAATGTCGCCAGCGCTTTGTCATTATTCAGTCTCTCGGTACCATATTAAAGTATAGTCACTGCTGTCTAAAATAGGAAAACTGGTCTGTTTGTAGGCCTGGTGTATGATGATTTACGTGATCTATGTGACAGACGTGAGAACGTATGTGAACCTTGTGGGACTCTTCCAGCAGTTAATTGTTTACCCACTGAGCCATGTGAGTCATTTTGCAAATATCACGTTTAATTCTGGTCATGAATCGATCTTTGTGAAACTTTCCGGAACTCATTATTTACAAAAGCAATAATATTCAATTGGCCTTGAAAAGTATGCGTCGGTTAACATTACTTAAAGGCAGAATCAGATCTCTAGGGGTGATAAAATTACAAGCAACATGTACAATTGACCTACCAATCTATTCCTTACAATCTCAAATTACAATATCTCTCAAAGGATTCACGATATGTTATAAATTGGTGATTCAGAAGTTATATAATGGATTCAAAGTCAATATGTGGGAAAAATAACTAATTTTAGTTACCGGAAGTACTGTGACGATAGCGGAGGTGAGTACAGAGGCGCCTATTGTGCGAAATTGTACGGGAAAGTCTGATGGTTATTACCCCGACCTAGAGATCAACTGCATAACCTACTATACATGCGCAGGAGAGGTTATGAGTGGATACTATAGATGTCCAGGAGGTACTATAATAGAGTGTGCAAAAACAGACTTTTTGTCAGCTTGTTAATTCATTATTACTGTACATCATCGAATGGAGTCTTAAAACTCACCAGTCAAATTTTCGGCAAAATTGGTGAACGTTAAGCTCAACAACTATTGCCGTTTCTGACGTGTACTCACCGCGATACCTAGATGGCAATACTCTAAATTGCAGAAAGTGTCGTTTTCATCATGTTTTAGCGAGATCAGTGTTTTCCCAAAAGCGCTATTAAATTGAAGTGACTCATCAAGTTCACCAAAGTGGTTCAATATACTTTTGATCTGCTATATACTGAAGACATCGAAAGGGTACTTTGCCTAATCATCTTTTATAAAACTGCAGAAATTCTGGTTATCAGGTTTCACATCATAAAAGAAGACTCACTAAATCACTATGCGCCAATTGTAAACATGATGAAATTACACACTCTACGATTTTCAAAACATCACTAACATAGCAGCGAATACACTTCAGAAACTGCTGTAGGGGTCGAGCGAATGCAAAATGTTGCTAAAAATTTGGTCGAGTGAGTTTTGAGACCCCAAAGATTCAGTGATTTAATTATATAAGCAATTTAAGAGCTGGCAAAATGTTTGTTTTTAGGGACACCTTAACCAGGTACTAGTTTTAGAAAGTGTGTATTATTAGGCCTTATCACCACACAACGCATTTATAATTTCGACTTTTGGTTTCAACGTTTCACTTCTTTCACAACTTCTTACTCAAATCATTCTATCTCATAGGTTTGGTATTTGACCCTGAAGATGAGACATGTGACTGGGGCCGTGGCACGTGTCCTCCTTGTGGCACTGGAGAGGACAAACAACGCGGCTATTGTAAGAACTGTACTGGTGTTCCCGATGGATTGTACCCCGACGTCGACGATTCCTGCTCCGGGGCTTACAGATGTCAGTTAGATACAATGAAAACCCGTATTTTATGTGAAACAGGTATTCCATAAGATCCAATTTATAAAATAATTTAGAGACTGTACGAGCATGGTGATAACCGCCAAAAAACAAACGCCATAGCTACACGCCATGGAATTATCTGTATGTACAGTAAGGTTAGTTATTACCCATACCAAAACATGTCTGGGGTTTAAATTAAAAAAGAAGAATGAATTCAAATATATCACAGATATGCAATTTGCATACAGTGCGCGTCCCCCAAAAATGGAACAAGTGAAAACATTGTTTTGATCTAGTGTTTACCATGAAACCACGTGTCTCCCCTTTCCAATGGTATGTCACCTATTAATATATTACCACAGACTACTCGGTCAAGACAAGTAACTTAGTCAACATTCGATATTCGTATGTTCATCAATATTTACTAAGAATGGTGCCACAATTGAAGTAAACCTCTGGTTAATTATTTTCAATAAACCTATCAGCAAACGTGCAAATGATAATTTTGATGTTCTGTTACATATTGGTGAAGCAATCTTTGGGATATGACCTAAATTTCTGATTTTCCACTGTGTCCCTGTATACCCCTACTTCAAAAGATATATGTTATTCGTCATTTTTCATCATGAACCAACCATAAATGTATTTTTTCTTGTTTACATACAGAATGAACTTTCGGTTTTCAAATATTGCAAGACGGTACTGCATTTATTTGTTCAGGATATCGAGCAAACAAATGCGTGTCAATTTACACTGTAATATCCTACATACTTATATTTCAAGGGTAGTTTTGAAGAATAATCAAGAAAATCTATGTTTTCAAATGGATTCATCCTTGTCAAAGAACGTGAATGAGGATATGCCGTTTGAAAAACTCACAACATGTTTCAAGTTCTTACAATTCTTGGTTTAAAAAAAATAATTTGAAAGTTGTGATTTCGAATGTAATATCCTACTCAATGAAATTTGTTGATATTTGTGAATTTTTTCTTTCGAAATGCACATTGCAGGATAATAAAACCTTGCCATGTTCGAGATGCACGAAAAGTGTTTTGTTAATACTTGACGTCGTACGGATATTTGGATGTGATTGACGTTTTCGTTAATCTCCTACCACTGTAATTTCCAACTTAATTTTTGGAAGCCAAATGTGATAGTCACGAATTGATATTTAAGTCACACGTTGATGCATACATCATGTGTGTCCATTAACTGTCGAATACATGCCAACTTACATTTATATAAATATTCACAATTAACTCAAATCATCAATTCTCGAAACGGTTTATTATTTAACCTGGTGAATTGAATGTTTCATTTTGATTCATAATTATGGTATCGGATTTGAGTATAATATAAGTCGAGGCTTAAACAAAGCAATAAAATTACGTGAAACCTTTTGTGAAAATTCGAACGATTTTTCAAGAATCCTCCTTCAAAGTGATACCAAAGTGCTCCCCGGGAGTGGAAATTTCGTCTTGTGTAATCAAAATAATAGAGCGGGTGGTTTGAATTTTTGTTTGAGTTTATAGTTTACATCTATAAATTGAAAAACATATCGCCTAATTGAGAGGTTCATGCATATTTTGACGATCTATCATTATAAAGGGCTAAATACTGTGCAAAAACAGGATGACACGCTTACATTTGAAAATGAAATTTCCTACAGAATCGTCGACTCATGTTTAAAAGTCATGAAAACAAGGTTGAACACAAAACATTGACCCAGTTACTGTCTATTCAGCATGGGTTCAATAAGGGAAATATTATTTATGACTTAAATCGTTTACAGTTAAGTTGTATTCCAAGAAACTTATCAATTTAGAAATGCAAATTGTTCAATTTTGTTTTTCAATTATAAAAAATGGCACCTGTAGAGAACAACGTTTTCAAATTTTTTTCAAACGGAGATATTTACTTATGCAACATTCATTGGCATGTGTCAGGGAATAAATAGGAAGAATATGCATTTGATTCTATATCTTGTTCCTGAAGGAGTTTGTTAAGGAGCGGTATATCTTAACGTACTTTTATCATCCCGAACTCAAACATTTCGAATACTTATTTCGAGAACGCTTTGTTGAGAATGGATTCGAGATGTACTCAAAATTAGTGCGTTAAAATGTGTATTATCATCTAAATAACCACCTCACAAATTATTTTGGAAATCAAAGGTGTACGATTTTTGAGATTTTTATTTTCGAATGTTGACTTACTTACTTGGCTTGACTGTACTGAATAATCATTTCTTTTGCACAACGGTCCAACTGGCCATTTGAAGGGGCATGGAATGTAATCTTTCATGAGTAAACTTAATTGTAATCGAGCCACCCCTGTGAAAAGGTTCGGCCTTTTCAATATAGGTTTTGAAATATTTTTCGCCAAACCGCTTTTTCCTGGCTACGCTACTGAACGATTACCCTGTATGTAGATTCTACTTATAAGTATACACTGAAGATGAAGCCCTCTTTTAAGAAGCGAAATCAAACGACTGTAAAGGAATATTGAGCGGTGTGATTGTATAGATTAATGATATATGATTTGGGATCGTTGAATCTTTCAAAATATTGACCCAAGGAAAATAGACCCAAGACAGAAAGGATTGGTATCGATATGGGGAACTGAATTCAACAATGTTTTTCTCTAAACCAATTATTGAAAATATTCCGTAAAAGGCACGGTTTGTTTGTTTGTTTGTTTGTATCTTTATTTCCTCCAATTCTGAAGAGTACAATTTCTTATAAAATAAAATAAATTAGCAAAAAGTTATATACATTATATACATATAAGGAACATAATCAGTAATCACATCACATCCAGAGCACCCCCTATTAAACGGCCGGACGCCAGGCTACCGCGTTGACCCGTAACCGCAACAGGCCCAATGCTCTGGAGTTATTTTGACTATTTGAGATACGCAAATTACATTCTGCTTTCACATGTATACATTTTATGAACATTCTTCGCAATTAATATGTACTGATCAGGTGCCAATTGTTCATTTTCACCAAATATTAGTCTTAGAATTTGCTCATTACTTTGATTCAATATCAGCGAGTGATTTTTAACTATATCTAGAATGATTTTTCGTTCGGCTGAGAAATATTTACATTTTAACATGAAATGTTCCAAGGTCTCATCCTCTTCACCACAAGCTTTACATAGTCGCCCGTTATGCCTGTCTTTCATGTCGCCCCATTTGCCTGTGATAGCACATAGATTACTCCCTCCAGTTAGTAGGATCATCATTGTCTTACATATGCGAATATATTGGCATTCGCGAAATGCAATTTTCCACCACACTATTGGTGTGCCAAAGCGTATTACATTCCTATATAGGGAAGCGTTGTGATTGAACATACACTGTATTTTCCACTGCCACATTGCATATTCTCTTGTATTATCTGACACCATCTTCTTCCATTCGCATTTACTTGGTACCATTCCTGTATCTATCATATCATATATTTTGTGCTGAATGCCTAGACGTTCAGCTACTCTCATGCAATCACCAATAGGGGACACTAAAGCTAGATCACGTGTTCTGTACGCTATGATTCTCATTATCGCGATCATCTTATATACATTGTTCATTGGTAGAGATAACAATTGCCACACTAACATGATTTTGTCTACTACGATCTTTGACGTTACGTCTCTCCAACCAAGTTGTTGTATGGTTGCCTGGTTGCTGGTCGTGATAGGAAGCCCTTGTATCTTCTTTGCTATTCCCCTGTGTGCTGTCTCTAGCCTGTCATAGTCAGTATCTTTAAGAGGCAAAAGACTCATTCCATACGTCATAGTGGGGAAACATATTGACCAGTAAATCTTTGACGCTGTTAGAGGATTTGTTGGATTGTTATTGCTGGCTGTAGTTCCTAAATAGGCAATCATTGCTCGTCTTCCTTTCGAGATACGTGTGTCCATGTATTCTTTTACTGAATTGCTATTTGTAAGTGGCAGCCCAACATGATCTATTGAATTCTCGATGGGAATAATGTGATTCCCTAATTTCAGAATTGGTTTTGGGGGGTTTCTCTCTCTACTAAACACAACGGCCTTACATTTCTTTGGGTGAAACTGAAATCTCCATTTGCAGCTATAATCAAAAACTTTACGCAGTAGAACCTGCATTGTATTACCATGATATGCTAATAAGTTCATGTCATCAGCAAACGTGGGGCAGCTACATACAACATTTCCTATAGAACATCCAGTCATACTATCACATATCTCATTTAATAGTTCATTGGTGTACCTTGCGTATAATTCCATTGACCAAACACCACCTTGGTGCACACCCTGCTCCACAGGAAACAGATCTGAAATATTTGCATTTTCACTTAGAAACCGAGATATTGCTTGGGGAATATTTAAATCCTCTTTAACTGCTTTAAACATTGAGTCTATGTTCACATTCAATTTAATAGCACATTTATATCCATCATAACAATTTCTTAGCATTCTCCATAGTTTGCCGTTTATTCCCTGTTTATACATTTTATGATACAACCCAATATGCCAAACGCCATCAAAAGCTTTTTTAATGTCTAATGACGTCACAATGACATTATTACCGTTTTCTAGACCTGTTGCTATTGCTTCTCTTGTAACAAGAGATGTGTGAAGACTAGAACATTTGGCCTTGTTAACACCTTGCATGTTTGAAACCTCTTCTGTTTGTGCACATAATTGGCTTCTTGACATCATAATTCTCTCGAACATTTTCATGTACGTGGTCATCAATGTAATGCCACGATGGTCATCTTTTGATAAGATGTCCTTGTACTTTTTGTAAACACGTTGTGTTTATGTCATTTTGTTCCAATGAGGTTCGGTTAGATGTTTCATTTCATTCCGAACATATTATACCAAGAACAAAAGAAGTGTCCGATGTGTTTTCTAAAACAATATAGAGAAAAGTAAATATATCTATTTCAAAAAATATTATTATCATTCAAAAGATGCCCATTAAATTGACAATATGTAAAATTTTCAGAATTCTTTGATGACTGGTTTAAGAGAAACGTGTGTTCAAAAAGTTCGCCATATCGATACTCATCCTTTGTTATTAAATGACACGTTCGATGGTTATTTTTCCAGGTTCGGTGTATGATCCAGAAAGACAAGCATGTACAGAAGACACGGAGGATGTTTGTCCACCATGCTATAATGGTTCGGGGTCTCCTCCTGCACGATGCCCTACGGAGGCACCCGCTGTTAGAGAAAAATCTCGGAACAGAAAACTCGATCTTGATTAGGGACAAGCAAAAACTGGAATTAAATTTATGATGTGGTTCAACCGAAACATTTCTACTGAAATGAAAATTACCAAATTAAATAGGTTAATTGGTACAACTTCAGTGGAATATTGAAATGCTATGTTTATATGTTTCCCATGTGTTACTTTCATGTAGTTTCCACAATAAATTTATGGCCATTATTCTTATGGGTGATAGGTTTTACGTTCTGTATTTTAGTGACGTGATTATAAGAGTCAACGGAAATACATAGATACCCTCCAGATTGATGATTTAAAGTATCCATCCGGTATGGTGAGTTAACCAAACGTGATATGTCGCTTTAAAATCCTATTATACAACGGGGGGTCGATATAAGACCCCCTTCTGTTAATATACACATGACTAGTTTCAAAGTCGTTTTGCTTATAATAGAGAGGTTAAGCTACACGTATAAATGCAAACCGTGAACCTGAACGCGTAAGTCCACGCTCAAGTACACGTTTAAGAAAATGTTCGGTTAAGCTACACGTCTGAAACCATGTCAGTGGACGTGGACCTATATGTATGTGGTGATTGTGCCTGAAGTTCATCTCTCTATGGTGTAATGGATAGCACTTCGAACTCGTGTCCGTCAAGCATGGGTTCGAATCTAGTCGCATCACAACATTTTGTTTTTTTATTTTTGCTTTATTTCATATTCAACCAGAATTAAAGGATCTAGTGCGCCCTCCATTATGATGTCCCCATGATCAAAAATGAATTCATCTTATTTTTCAAAACGAATATACTGCTTTATTATTGCATTTATATGTACACTAGTATCTTGTTGACCTATATTCAGCACTGTATTGATGAATGGGCCACTTATTAGGGCCAATATTCAATCATAAAGTGTACAGGGGTAGAGATGCCGAACCATGAAGTCTTTTTGTGTCTATCAAAATCCATTTGCATCCTACACATCCCTATATCTTATCCAAATATGTTATTCATTAATGAAACATAACAGTTTAATCTTTGGATTTACTAAGTTATATGATATTTCATAAGTGTAAAAGTTGCTTTTGAAGCCTTTTTCTTTAGCCATTATGTAGGAAAAAATGATGAAAAAATGTGAAATCTTTTAATTTGAAGTATGACCTGAATCGGTTGCAAACTTTATATTTGCACATCTGATGTGATATTTGTGTTATATTGTAAAGCTATTTAATTTGCAATCGATTCAGGTCATTTCGTTTAGTATACATATAGTACTTAGCCCTGGGTATCAAAATGGCCCTACCTATTTATATTGTACGGAATGAACAAACGATCACATCTGAAGTTGTCATTTACCCATTAAAATGTATTCTTATTTCCAATTAAGGATTGGGGTTTACCAATATAACAAACAAGATTGTCTGTATCAAATATGGGATCCCGGGCCATCTTAGAACATAACTAGAATCAATCACGTAATGAGCGACGTGTAATTACTCGTCTACACGTAAGAACCTGTAACTTTCACGCTTACGTGTAGAAAGTAGACTTATCTGACGTCATTTTTCTGCGCGCGCATAGAAGTACACGTTCATGCTTTGTTGAATACGCGTCGATAATGGCACGAATATGATAATCTCATGTAAAAACCTATAAATTTCACGCTGGCCCACAGGAAATAAACAAATCTGACGTCATTTATCTGCGCGCGCATTGAAGTTCACGTTCAAGTTTTGTAAAATACGTGTAGCTTAACCTCTCTAGTATGTCGATTTCACCTCAAATTCTATCACAAATGTGGATAATTAATGAAAAATAAAAGATCGACATAAATGGTTGCCATATGACAACAATAACAATGTCTACTGTATGTGTTAACCCGTCTAAAGTGATCAGGACTACATAAAAACCAATTGACCAAAAATATAAAAAGCTGTACAATAACAAAGATCTGTCGATCTATTAATGTTGGGACATAGACAAATCAAATTAAGGACCATTGTTTTGAAAAGGAAGACATATTTCTTACGAGCAACTTGAACTTATAAACTGATATAGATTAACTATATCATTCGAGTAGATTTTTTATTTTATGGACTTTTGCTTTAGTTATCTAGAAACTTGGAAATGTATGGTCCATATCATACAAGGAGAATTGGCTCCCAGGGTTCCAACTCGATATTCCGCCATATACGGAGTCTTGTTGTGATTACAAAATTCAAAATCTTGTTCAATCTTCAAAGTTGATTGGTAATTGTAGGATGTATCACTTGTAAAAACAAAGGTATTGCTCTACAAAAAGCATTGATTACTTAATAATCACCAGGCCGTACATCTATGCATGCGAACCTTGAACAAGAGGCACAATGAGTAAAGATTGCCCTTGTGACCTTAAAGTGCATGTACAGTATCGGCAACATTTCGGTATCTCACACATACGCGTGTTTGTTCCTTTAAAAGAACATGTTTTGACGACAATTGTCCATCATTTCTGTACAAAGGTGTATTGTTCTACACCCATTTACAAGATAGTGGCCTCGTTAACAATCACTTGACATATATTATATATCATATACTCTGGCCAAAATTAGGAGTTCACCATAACGTCCGAAATATATAACCTGTAGGATACGCTTGAAGCACTACTTACTTCTTAAGAATGAAGACACTTTTAGGAATTTCAGTTCTTTTCTGCTTCATACAATGTAAGTTAAATTAAGTTAAAATGTGTAATTATAAATGTGTAAAATGTGTATAGACTTGTTAAAACTACAATTTATTGATACAGAAGCATGGTTTAGAATAACTCCATGAAACGAGTTACCGGAGTGGATGATGTCACATCCCTCTGAATAATTTGACAATATTTCAGTCTCTGACACTATCCAAAGAACACAAACTAAATAATTTCTTTAATTGATAATAAATTGTTTACAGAGTATATTTGGAATTTACCAATTTACGTGGAAGGAGAAGAATCCACAAACGTATAACGATCATAATTAACAAATCAGATTGCAGTATTTTCAGTAACGTATGCTCAGACGAACTGCACGGGGAGTCCTGACAGACTCATCACGTATGGTTGTAGGGCGTTCACTGCGTGCAAGAACGAGACGTACGTCAATGTAGAATGCCCACCGGGACAAGTAGTGGACACTGAACGCATCTTGTGTGACGAGTAAGTTACACGGTGATATTTTCCACATTGGGATAAACGTGGGTGGCTCCATAGTGATATAACAGTATTTTTAAACCGTAAAAAGTATATATTCAAATGGCATTTAAGAGGCACTCGACATTTAATTGGACTTTTGAGCTTTTTTAGGCACATTACTTTAAACTACAAAAAACAACAAAAAATAAAAGTAAAATAGTCGAAACATCTGATTTTTTGTTACTTATGATTGAATATAGCTTATGTGAAATAACGAACTGAGGAGGGTAAAGTTGCAAACAAACATTTTTTACCATCGATTCTTGGAAAACGAATCCATCCACATACTTTTCTTTAAAAATGTCCCAAAACGGATGGACTGGAGTCCTCTGACTGGTTTTCAAAAAGTAGCGGCAACAACGTAAATGTTTTCGTGTTATGAAGAGGAGTTACCTGCATTGGGGTCGATTGACTTCCATTGTGCAATAATCTTAGGGGAGGCAGAAAAAGTTCAATGACTGAATAAATCTAGTCATTTCAGTTTCCTCTCCGAGAACATTAAACTCAAAACCAGATATTTAGTTTTTTATCAGACATTGAACATTCCATGCCTCACTAAAGGTGGAAAAGAGCATCGGTGACAAGAATGATTTTTTTCGGTATGACAGGTCGCTTGCGCTCTTTACAATGGCCTTTGTTTTTAACTCTTCATTTTTGTTTCAGTCCAGAAAATGTACCGCCACCCTGTGGAGGTAATAGAAACTGTACGGAACGTGAGGACGGTGGATATCCAGATTATTTTACCAACTGCACATCGTTTTATATCTGTTTAAATGGAGTTAATCGTGGTACAGGATTCTGTCCTGGAGGTAGGTTTATTATTGCATTCTTCAGGTCAAGTCTATGACATATGATGTCTAGCCTCGTTCGATCAAAAGTTCGAGAACATCAGCAATTACTTATCTCCTTATCTCTAAAATTTGTATAAAGCAGCTTTAGAGTATCATTAGCAAGTTGTAAAATATAAAAAAGATGCAGTAAATATTTTGTGACAACTAAGAAATTCAAAATAGCATGTCAAAATTCCTCGTACGGGAGCTCTGCGATGAGACCTCTATAGTGTTTGTACCAGCTATTAGGTGATAGCATCTGTTAATCAGTAAAATAGCTTGTCTGTGTGTCATCATGTCTACTTTAATTAATTTCATTCTTCCCAATTTTTTGGAGGTGATATTGTTAGAATAAATATAGAGTAGTGTTTTTGCTTAGAAATGGATTACTAAGTGACTTTTACATTGATATTGGTATTTTGCCATACTGTCTTTAATTCAAAATCTAATGAGGCCAATCTCTTACATATTCATAGCAATCTGCAGAAGATACCCTGACGTGCCTTTGGTAAAGTTTTCAAAGAATTTGGCCCATCTGTTACTGAGAGATTACTTGTCAAATTGCTTCCCATTTTTTAGTACAAACGTTATGAAGTTCTCATTACGTTGTTTCGGTATGGGACATACTACCTTGAATTTCTTAGTTTTCAAACAACATTTATCTGATCTTTTTCATATTTTTTTTATCTTGCTAACGATAGTATTGGGCTACTTTGTACGAATCTTCAGTAAATGTGGTTCATCAGATATCGATCGAGGAAATACTTGTCAAAAAGTGTCTCATTTTTGGCGAACTCCCATGCAGTCTCTCGGTATAGACACTGCGGCGGGCAGATGAAGAAAATCCCCAAAATTTGGTGAAAATAGTCCCCATTTTCATCGTATTAGTTGCATTCGCGAATACAAGCTTATGGATTACAAATATCGAGTTAGAACCATTGGCCAATCCTCAGTCGAAATAATGTATACATGATTGATCAGTTGTTCAGCTTTGTAGATCTGGTTTACGATGATGACCGTGATTTATGTGACAGACCGGACAACGTTTGCGAACCTTGTGGGAATAAACCAGCAGGAAGCTGTGCACCAACTGTACCATGTGAGTTATGTTCCGATTGCTTATACGTAGTTGTTTTCCGTTTCCTAGGTGTTGTTTATGTTTACATGAAAAGGTGCACTAACAAATAAGAAAACACTTTTGGAAACTACATGAATAGAAACGTAAGCTGGGTATTCATCACTGACATCCCTGTTAATAATCCATCTGAATCTTTAATTTCAGTTACCGGGAGTACTGTGACGACAGAGGAAGTGAGTACGATACCACCTATCTATAGAAATTGTACCGGAAAACCTGACGGCTACTACCCCGACCTAGAGAACAGCTGCGCAGCATACTTTACATGCGCTGGACAGGTTATAAGTGGATTCTACGAATGCCCTGGAGGTAATTGTATTAAAGAATGGATACAGTATGTTGCAATTTTACAACGCAATATCATTTTAGACAACTTTGTACTATAAACAGATAAATCTGATTTGTCAAATTAGGGGAAAATAATTGATGCGCATGTTATTCTTTGCAAAGGTTTGGTATTTGATCCTGAAGATGAGATATGTGATTGGAACTATGATACGTGTCCTCCCTGTGGTTCGGGAGCGGCCAAAGAACCCGGCTATTGTAAGAACTGTACTGCTATTCCCGATGGATTGTACCCCGACCTCGATGATTCTTGCTCCGGGGCTTACAGATGTCAGTTTGATACAATGAAGTACCGTGGTTTTTGCCCATCAGGTACGCCATGGAGTTACACACCCGAAAAATTGTCCGAATAATATTTTGTAAATTATTGATCGTTTCTGTTTCATTGAATGTTTTGTTAATTGAATTCATGAGGCTGTTGTGTTCAAATTTAGGTTCAGTTTATGATCCTGAACGTTTTTCCTGTAACAATAACACAGAAGACGTCTGCCCACCATGTTATACCGGTGCTGGGACCCCACCTGAACGTTGCCCAACTGAAGCCCCAACTGAGGTCCCAATAGGTAATCTACTCCTCTGGACACTATCGATATTTCTAGCTATTCTTTACATGTCACTTTTAAGTTTATTAGCTCGATCGCAGTCTTTCGAAATGTTGTATGGGTATAATTAAGATATAAGTCCTATTTGTTCTTTTGATAAGTTTAATTTTCTGATTGTTGGAAGACATGTTACACTACAATGCGTCCCAAAAATGCAACAAGTTAAAACATTGTAAAACCACAAAACCAGTGATTGCATCAATTTCATTTATTTTACCATGAAGCTACGTGTCTCATCTTTCCAAGGTATGTCATTTATTCATAGATGACCACAGATCACTGAATAATCATTACTTTTGGACAACCGGCCAAAAACTACTCCATGAACAATTGATCATTGATATTAAAAGATCTGGAAAAAAATGAAGTTAGGTTAAGCTTTAGTATTTGAATGGTAAAATATGCCTATCCTTAAGTTTCTGTAAATAATTTTTTATGGCAATGCCTTAATGTTATGATACTTTTCTAGGCTCTTAAAAAAGTTGCAATTTTTTTTGGCACACCCTGTATGTAGCTAGATAATATGTCGTGTATACAGAGAATTAAATGACCCTATATATATATGATACGTGAGCAATCAGCATGTTTATATTACAGATAGCAACAGTACAAATCCAGACAGAAACTGTACGGGAAGACCTGATGGTTACTATCCAGATCTTACATTGGGATGTAGATGGTTCTTCACCTGCGAAAATGAGCTTACAACTGGCCAGTATGAGTGTGCTTCAGGTATTTAGTAATACATACTTAACATGATAAAATTAGAACGATTCCAAAAAATACGCTGTGTAGTGAAATAATCAAGGTATCATGATCCAAGTGAAAAAATAACCTCCACTTCTGCCAATTGAATCTACCAATGTAATAGTGATATTCATGGTACCATCGGAAATTCTGTTATAAACAAAACGATCAATTGACCCCCCTTGCTGCATTTGAATAAACTGTCTAATGTATCATCTATTCATTCAACAGATCAATATTTATTGCTATTTTTATATAAATTGTTTTATTTTAAAGCAAATGATACCAAAAGCTCTCGCAAAATAAGGGTTGTTTAGATATCAGCGACTACCCTTTATCTTAAAGATGTTGTAACAATGGTTCACATTTTTTCAGATTTAGTTTTTGACCCAGAGGACCAGACGTGTGATAGGGTAGAATCAACATGTGGTCCCTGTGGGACAGGATCGGCTCAAGCACCCGGATATTGCAAGAACTGCACGGGTGTTCCAAATGGATTGTACGCAGACCTTGAAGACTCCTGTTCTGGTTCATACACATGCCAATTTGAGCTGATGAGATCCCGAACAGTCTGCCCCTCAGGTGAATATTAGGATTTTAAGAATCCTCTATGAAATGCCCCCATATTATTGTCCAATGGTGAATTGACATGAGTCACGAAATATAATGTTTTGATATGTTGTTAGGGTAACGCTGATTTACAAACTTGGGAATAAAGTCTTCAAATTTTAGCACATACAATCTAGAAGAGATCCTAAATCGTTGTATTTCCAGGTTCGGTATATGATCCAGAAAGGCAAGCGTGTACAGAAGACACGGAGGATGTTTGTCCACCATGCTACAATGGTTCGGGGTCTCCTCCTGCACGATGCCCCACAGAGGCACCTAGTGGAGTAGATAACCTCAAGCACAGGGAAATTGACTTTGTTTAGGGACAATCTAAAGCCGCATTGACGTTAATCATATATAACCTTACAAAAGCGATCATATGGCACAACAAAACATTTAACCGGGTTTTTTATTTTATCTAAATGGATGACAGTGGATATCATTGTATTCGTTTGACACCAAAGACATGTTTATATCTGGAAAACGTGAACCAGAACGTTGATGTACATGCAGGAAGGTGATATCATTCTCCAATAGTGCCGTAGTGTCAGGAGGAACTCCTATACAAGATATATCTTATTTATACAAAGATATTATTGTTGTTTATTTACTATTCTCAGTTAATGAATTCTCACTTTCTACTGCATTTAGGTAGATTTTCATATATTTCTAGTGTATAATAAAATATTTTCAACCCAATTCTTGTTGCTAAGCATCCTTTATTTATTGACACGCGTAGTTGGTTAAAGAGTTCTGCATTTTCATGAAAATTGAGAGAATTTTGGACGGATTGTCAATTACTTACGCATAGTTTTATTACAGGGCCGTCAGATGGGGGGGGGGGGGGGGTGCGATGGGTGCGATCGCATCCCCCTTTGACATCCCCCCCAAAAAAAAATTCAAAAATTCTTTTTTTTTTTAAATATTTTTTCAATTTTTTTTTCATTTTCTCATACACTTTGATAGTGCCCAGAAAGCACCAAATAGCATCTTAAATTGTAAATTTTTTTAGGGGGAGTGGGCCACCCCTCACACCCCCCACAAAACTATGGAGAAGTTCTATATTTATTTTATGTATTGTCCAGACATCATCAAATAGCACCTTGATATGGTCAATGTTTCTGAGGGACAGATATGGGGGACAAACACTCCACCTCCCCCTCTGGCACCCCCTTTTGACACCCCAAAAAAATGAAAAAATCAATTGACTCATGCTCTTTAAAGTGCCAAGAAGCACCAAATATCATCTTAAATTGTAAAATTTTCTAGAAGAGTCGGCCACCCCTCACACCCCCCACAAAACAATTGAAAAAATTCTGAATTTCATATATTGTCTCAGACATTTTTTAAGTGCCCAGATATCATCAAATAGCACCTTAATATGGTCAATGTTTCTTGGGGACAACCCCTTGCTCCCTCTCTGGCACTCCACCCCACTTCACTCCCTCATCCTCTTTGACACCCCAAAAGAATTTGAAAAAATTTATTGACTCATTCACTTTTAAAGTGCCCAGAAAGCACCAAATAGCATCTCAAAAGTGTAAAAATTTTAGGGGGAACTACTGGGTCACTCTTCACACCCCACACAAAACAATTGAAAAGTTTGGAAGTTGCATTTGTTAATTTTAAACACTTTAAAAGTGCTTAGAAATCACCAAGTGACATAATGAAATCATAAAAGCATAAAAATTTCTGGCACCCCATCCCAAAAACTAAAGAATTTATTTATTCAAAAACATTAAAAGTGCTCAGAATTAACCAGACAGCATCTTAAATTAGAAAATTTTCCTTGCTGCCCCCTCGCTCCCCTAAGAAAAAATGATTGAAAAAATCTGAATTTCTTATAAATTGATTCTATTGATTAAAACACCTTGAAAGTATCCAGATATCACTGAATGTGATCTTGAACTGGAAAAAGTTCTCGGGTAAGCATTTATGCCCTTCTAGTACACCCTCCCCCTATTCCAGTGTTTCTCCAAATTGCTCATACAATATTTAGTCTAAAAACAATACAAAAACAATAAAATACTACAAAATGGACTGAGTGGCCCCAATATAGGGAGTAACCCCCCCCCTGACTTACGCGATTTGATTTTCGCGGCAAAACATTGACAATTTTATATTCTCTTTAGTTAAAACCGCACCCCCCTTGGAGAAAAGTGTCTTACGGGCCTGTATTAATTGCTTTCCATTTGAGCTTAGTGTATTGAGAGAGGTGTATATTATTTTCGTACTCTGGCCATGCTACTTTTCAAAGACCATCTGTCCTATGGTACTGATATTGCAAAGGGTCAAATGAAGAAAAGTCAAAAGGTTAAGTAGAGAAGTGAACCCGTTTACCAGGGTGCTGAGAGAGAGATGGTTGGTCTATGAAGAGGCGTACCCCAAACCCACCTTACCCGAGTATTTTTAATCATGCAATAGGCCACCTTTCATTCAAAGAACTTCATTTATTACTAAATGCATATGGAACGAGGTGAAATACCCCTGGACCAAGGATGGCAATGTGCCTAACTAACTTGCTCGATCTTAGATTGAGCAACTAGTTTCATTTTTATTGAAAATTGTATATCCCTTATGATATCATGATAAAATGAAATTGTTGATTTTTCACTCTCGTAAAGTGTTGCCGTCATTCGGCAAGGCAGCATAAATACAATATAATATGTGTATAATCTAAATCGAGTCAAAACCATTGACCTTAAATTCATACTACAATGATTGCTATAAAATGACAACATATAATTATTATTGGGAAATTTACAAATATTCGATTTGGTTTTGATCAATTGGGGAAATTGAGAATGGCCCCTAGATATTTTAAAATGATTTGTAAAAAAATTATTCTTGTCTCGTTTTCTGCAGTAGGAAATCGACATCCGATATGCAAATGGGTATCTTGAAATGTCGCTAAGCATATCACTTCGAAAACAGAATCGCTTCAAAAACAAAATTGCTTATCTCCCAACTTTTACCACCGGAAACCATCATATTTTATATTTGTAAACAATGCATGGCCCATCGAAACTCTTGCAAGGCATATCTTAATGTGTTATGAAGGGCGTTCAATTTGTAGAGTATTTAAAACTAATTATAATCCATGCTATCATCTACTTGAGCCATCGATATAGGTTATTATTGAGTATCTTGTACCTATTCTGTACCGATAGCACGACCACGAGAAGGTGCCCATAGATTAGATCGAACTGGCCGGGCATTAAAATGCTCAGAATTCTCTTCTCATCTTCATCTGCATTGATGTACATTTGTTTTAACCTTATATAACATTAATATTTCTGATATATGGGTGACAAAGTACCACTTTAAGTACTAGTGCAAAGGGGTAACACCAGAGAAATGTAAGTTATATGAGTAATTATATAATAATTAAGAGCAGACGTGTCTGTACTACCCAATTGAAAAAAGCCTATGGAAAATCATCTCCAATTATCACCTAACTTACTATTGATAATTAGTTGAAAGTTAGGTGTAAAAATTCACATGCAAATGAGCTAATTATCAACTTAATTAACGCTTAATTTGCAACTTAATTAACGATTAACTACCATCAATATGCAAATGAGCTATTTACGTAAATTAGTTGAAAGTTAGTTGTAAGTTTGATGTAAGTTAATCTCTAATTATCACCTAACTTACTATTGATAATTAGTTGAAAGTTAGGTTTAAGTCAGATTTGTGACATCTCAAAAATGACTCGCTTCTTTTTTGCTTCCCTTCACTCGGAGATTTTTGCTTCATCTTGAACTATTTTGTGACGGAATATTCATCTTAATTAGGATCTTTCAGAACAGACAAAATTGAACTTGAACTATTGAAATTTCACAGCAAGAGGAGGGAAAACCCCATGATTCAATTGATGACATAAGATTTCCTCCTTCGCACACCTCCTTTTGTCGAAAACGTACCCTCCATCTTGGTTTTTAAAGTTTTCAAATTGACCTAGATTTAAACCAATCAACGATCGACTCGCTAAACCAATCAGCGACGATGTCATTTCAATACAGATTTACATTATAAGCGTATGTCATCTTTGAACCCTGGGGTTTCTCCCCCTCTTTTTTAAAGCTATTCTTTTTTGCAAATTTTTAAGATTCATGAAAAGCATGTGAAAACATCATTATTGCCATCAACAACTAAAATCAGAACACAAACATTAGACTATAATGTTACATAATAAGGACGTCACCGATATAATCAAAAATATGTTTTGAAATGTCTTTGATCTAACAATCATTATTTAGAAGAGCACATTTGGATTACTTGTGAAATATAGGTAACCCATGTTAGTACCTAAATTGAATTCTAGGATTAATATTATATGATCTGATTCAAAAAGATTTTTAAATTCATAAACATGTCAGACAGAAGTGTGAATAAGATTTAACATACATTGTATTCATGTTCTACATACCCTTATAATAATGTTGACCAAATTTCATGGTAGTATACGCACCATTCACGTTGTAATTCTCAATTTTATGAGAGAAATATCTCTCACATGTTTTCTTTTTCCACCATCTTGAAATTAAATTTAGGGGGTTTGTATTTCTAAATCATGGGCCTAATTTACTACTAATTATCATTATAATCATCCTATATGTTAACTATCAACCAATAATCTACTTCAGAACAAAAAAGTTTTAATTTACCACTTACTATCACCCTCAAACATTTCATATCTTAATTATCAACTAAAAATCATAAATCAGCATTATTTTAAGTTAATTTACGTTGAACTTGCTACTGATAATTAGGCCATAATTATCATTGATTTAATTAACGCTTAACTTTAATTCCAATTGCCAGCAGAATTGTTGATAATTAGTTGTAAATTAGTTGGTAATAAGTTGGTAATTAGTTTTATTTTTCAATTTGGTATAAATCTAAAGAATAAGGGTCAGACAAAAATATAAAAAATTAATTAATTAATTTCCAATGTTTATTGAGTGTCATGTATTACAATATTGTATTGTATTTTGTTTACCACCAATGAAGGTGAGCAATACCTCCATACGGTATATCCCGTATATTGTATGTACGGTCCTAATTTACACAATTAATCCTGGAAGACAGATCCAGAAACCCCTCCTTGAAGGAGCCCTGTGTTCTTGTATATGTACACATCCATGGGCATAAACGTATAATACACCACAGTCTTTTGTACGAGTTATGGACCACTCAGTCAAACACGTCCTGAAGTACATGTACTTTACACAAAAGCAAATAGTCTTGCCTGGACCGGGGATCGAATCAGGGACCCATTGCGTAATTGGTACACACGCGTACTGCTGATCATGAGCAGCTACACGGGTGCATACATAATATAACGTCAATTCAAAAAGTACATTGTCATCCTTGCTTCAAGTGTATTTCACTTCTGAATTGAGTAATAAATGAAGTCCGTAAATGAAGGATGTACACTGTCTTTGTGTCGACGTTCTGCCTTTTGTACACATACAAATGGTCCACTCCCGTTTACAAGATAATGGACACTTTAACATGCACTTCCAGTCATATATAAGGCTGTCCAAAATGCAGGGTTTAATCATTACAAATATATAGGTTAGGATCTGCTTGAAGAACAATTGAATACTTCAGAATGAAGACAATTATCGGAATCTCAATTCTTTTATGCTTCCTGAAATGTAAGTATGTTCGAGTTAGAATTACCCTCTCAATATTTTAAAATATCGGATTAATCAGATTATAATTTACACAAAATACACCCAGCTAGCTCTTACGCGTAACTTAATATATATATATATATATATATATTGGCCTCGCTGAGCAAATCGATCAGATTCAGCAAAATGTTAATTTTGAAAAATGAAATGACTCTCACGGTAATTTCAATTTCAGTAACTAATGCCCAGACGAACTGCACGGGGAGTCCTGACAGACTTATCACGTATGGTTGCAGGGCGTTCACTGCGTGCAAGAACGAAACGTTCTTTGATATAGAATGTCCACCGGGACAAGTAGTGGATACTGAACGCATCTTGTGTGACGAGTAAGTTCTATCGATACTTTCCTTTTGAGAGTCCAATATTCCCTCGTATAGCAGTTAACATTAGAGGATCGAAGGAGAGGTGATGTATTAAAAAAAAAACCTGGAAATACCAGTGTTTTGAAACAATCGGCATTTTTTAGATTTGTAATTTCAAAATTGATTAAAAATGTATTTATTTGTCTTTTTGGTTTATGTGGGTTTCTTAGGGAGTAGTTTTTATTGTTACACATTTTTTTTACTTTTTCTAATTAGCTAAAAATAGAATAGTACATCTGATCAATACCATGGTGATTACTTTGGTTGCTTACCTTCATGTACCACTAACAATAACTATCTTACCATTTCTTGATCTCACCTTAGTTGGGGGATAATTCATGGGTGGTAAATGGGGGAGGGATGGCGGGCGAGATTCACTCAGATAACACCCTGCTTTCTCCTTGTATCAAGAAATGAATGGAAAATGGCGTTCTTCTGCGCATGTGCGTTGACCTACATTCAACTCTACTTCCTAGTAACCGATTTGTTTACATCAAATTCTGACAATCGCAACAACAATTAACTACTCCCATAAAACACATATAAAACCAATTAATTTTCAATTAATTGACATTAATTATCAATCAAAATATTTATCGAAGTCGAGCAAACATGTTTCAGTTGAGCTTGTTGGCACATTTCATAATGAACATGTCTTTCTCCCAATTGATGTCCAAGGAACATTTCAACTGTGTCCATTAATTAATAGCGAGTTCATATCTTGGGGTTCCATTAGGAACAAAAAAGTGAAGCATACTGTATGATTTTTATTTGCATAACATATAAAGAAAATTTACTTTTAGTGCTCAAATATAAATTGACATCATTTCCAATACCTCGAATGTTTCTAATCTTTTCAACAATTACAATAGGTCGGAAATGGATGAAAAATCTGTTGAGCTTTTGAAAATCGACATTCTCATGTAAACCAATGGGAAATGGTAGGTTTGCCGCAAGTCATATGACAGAATATTCATCCATCCGAGTTCTTGCAAAAATACAAATTAGTTAGTCAATTGAATTTGCTAACGTTATTTAATATAAATTTGATACTTATCTTCAGGTTCAAAAAGTTATAGGTCTTCAAACTCAAAATTATGTTTCAAAAAACTCCTCTCATTGAAATAACACAAAAGGCGAAAAATTATTTTCAAAAATGGCTCTCGGTACCTTTAGTATTCATAAATTAAACGAAACACTCATACAAAAATAAGACAATTCAATTTTGTATATAAAAATATTTTTTGGTAAATCTTTTACTGGATATATAACCTGAAATCAGATATGCCCCGAACCCACCATTTCCCATTGGTTTAAACGGAAATGACTCAAAACTTCATCAATTTTCGACCTTATGTAATTGAGGAAAAATGGGATTTGGAGGCATTGGAAATAGAGTTAAGTTACATTTCCATTAATATTATAAGTATTTTCTTCACAGGTTCAAACATAAAGAGGCTTTAACAAGCAGTTCAGTAAACAATGAATTCAATGAAAAGTTCCATAATTGCAACTGGAAAGAACTGAAAACCTGAAATTCGGGATTGCAGTCATTCTGAAACGAGTTGAGCTTTTGAGACGCCACTCATGAGACAATAAAATACTTCATAAGTTATAAGAGACATTTTAAGTTTTCGTGTTACAAATGAGGCATGGCTGTATTGACAGAGAGCGATGGACAGGGAGTGAAGTGGGTGATTTTAGTTGACCCTTTTTATATTTTTCAGCCCAGAGAATGTACCGCCGCCTTGCGGGGGAAGTAGGAACTGCACGGGACGTGAGGACGGTGGATATCCAGATTATTTTAACAACTGCACGTCATTTTACACCTGTCAAAACGGAGTCAATCGTGGCACTAGTTTCTGTCCCGGAGGTACCATTTTTATACGAATTTATAAAGAGTATAAATATAACTGAGAAATACGGGCAAATTCATGCTCAAAATTCACGTCGGGCGTTCGTAATCACGAACATATCGTGTGCCTGGTTTTAGAGAGATAACTGACCTATGCTAATATATTGATGCTATTTGTATACATGTATATGATGAAGAAATACTGACAATACTAGCTCATGATTTACTGCGGGCATTAAAATAAAACCATAGTTGACCGTTCTCCCACTAACACCACATTGTAAATAATAAGATACCTTACATATTTCATTTCAACCATTTATAATTTGCGATTTTACACAATTCTCCTCTTGTACTACAATTAACACTTTACAAAAATTGTGGTGCTTATATTTTTGTGATTGGTTTGGTCATCCTTTTTAAGTACTCATACAATCTAATTGATTGATTGAACATTTTCAAGTTCCCAATACACATGAACAATGGTATACTATACTTGACTGGACTAGCCTGTCCTGGCCTGGTCTAGCCTAGCCTAGACTTTACTATGAAATGATATAACATGATGCGATATAGTATAATACCTACGAGTATAATATGATATACTAAAGTAATATAATATAACTATGTTGTTTTATACATGTAGGTCTTGTATATGATGACGATCGTGATTTATGTGACAGACCCAACAATGTGTGTGAACCTTGCGGAAACCTACCAGCAGCTAACTGCTTACCAACTGAAGCATGTAAGTATTGCATTATGGGCTATGCGTTGAAGAACGAGGTTTTACTTACAAGTACTATATATATAGCGCTAATTACCGGAAGTAAAATGTGTTCTCAATATAATGAAAAAGGTGGGATTTATTCTATTCCCTCATAAAATCGTGATCGAAATATTATGAAGCGAAAATGTTTCAGATAGCATAACTGTATTGCTGTTATATTGTAGCCTATATCCAAGTTTTATCCATATGTTCAAAAAACGAAATATCAACATTCAATTATATATTTCTTTCAGTCACCGGATCTACAGTTACTACAGAGGAAATGACGACAACAAACGTGACAACAGAGCCACCCATTTATAGAAATTGTACAGGACGTCCGGATGGGTATTATCCTGATTTAGAAACCGGGTGTAGCTGGTATTTTACATGTGCAGCTGGTATTATGAGCGGATTCTTTCAATGTCCTCAAGGTATGTACATCTCAATAAATGAAAGACGAGCTTGTGTTCATAACCTAATTTACTTTTACAGTATTTCGCTGCTAATTGCAATATAAATTCATGTTATATGATTATTTCAATTTTTAAAGAATCAGAGAACAGTAATTAAGACCGATATGGACTCTAGAATTTGTATAATGCAATACTATAATTGCCCAGGTTTTAAGCATTGGTCCGCTTCGCCCAATCTGGCAAATGTCCGATAAATCCCATTCTTTCTCTCTCTAGGTTTAGTGTTTGACCCAGAAGACAAGACATGTGACTGGCCATATGCAGCGTGTCCTCCATGTGGTACGGGCACGTCCAAGGAGCCTGGGTATTGTAAAAACTGTACGGATATTTCCAATGGTCTACAGCCAGATCTCGATGACTTCTGTTCCGGCGCTTATACATGCGAATTTGACCTGATGGTGTTTCGGGGAAGTTGCCCGCCAGGTATGGACTATCATGCTTCGAAGTATTTAATAAATGAGGAGTTTCAAAATGCTTTTCGAAATAAAATTGTTTGAAAAAATATGCCATAAAATGCTTCAAAGACTGCACTCAAACTGTATCAAAAAGAAATGTGAAAATATTCAAAAAGTATATGTTAGTACAGTCGATGAAGTATTGCTTGATAGCCCAGCATGATAATTCTTGTATTTGCATGTACATTAACAAACCGACTCCTTTACTTAGGTTCTATATATGACCCTCAACGGTTGGATTGCACCAATAACACTGACGACGTCTGTCCGCCATGTTACAATGGTTCTGGTAATCCTCCTGAACGGTGTGAACCCACTACAGAAACTCCAACTACAGAACCCCCAATTACAAACTCTACGGATACCGAAACGTCGGGAACAGAGGCTCCTCCTGGAACAGAAGAGCCAAGCCTCGCCCCAAGTACAAAGGCACCTAGTACACCAGCTCCGAGCATCGCCCCAAACACAGATGAGCCAAGCCTCGCCCCAAGTACAAAGGCACCTAGTACACCAGCTCCTAGCATCGCCCCAAGTACAAAAGCACCGAGTTCAGATATCCCCGCTGGTAGCACGGTAATAAATACAGAATCTCCCACCCAGAGATCCAGGCTTGCCCAGCAAGATAACGACGAAAACGATATTCTTGAAGATGACAATGGCCTAGTTCAGATCGAACATCCTAAATTCCCAAAGAGAAACAAATGATGCGTTAAAACTATAGTATGCCAAAGAGTAATAATATGACTGAAATGATATTGGACTTTGTTTGAAGAGAATTATAGTTTTATTGTAAATTTTTATATGATTTTATATTTTGAAGTTGATATCACATATGAAAAAACTGAAACAATATATAAAGGCCTATGTTTATTTATGTATTCTGTATATGTTATTTGATAGAATCTGTTAGGAATCGAGAATTCAACTACATATTTTGACGAAGTTGTATGTGTGTAATTGTGTACTTAGTATATCGTTTCTAAAAAACACGCCTTAATGGGAGGTCACATTCTGCTGATAAACATAACACAAGTCCTGTTTTAATGTTGTCTTTGTGACATCACACACTTAATATTTGTCCGATGGTTGGTACTTGAAACGTTATCTTTTCTTACAACGCCCTGTTTATTTGAACTCTATCGGTATGACATTCACCCCGCATTATTAAGGCAAATGTCAGGTACCGTAATGTCACAGGTATCTTAATGCAGTATTTATGACGAGAACAATTGAATCAACAACTGTTTAAAAGCATACAAAATATGTATACATATCCTCACCGATGGTTTATTATTATGATTTTAAAACGGGCAACCTAAACATTAAATATGAAACCTCCAGAATTAATAATGTCTATACAACTATACTAATAATTTCCTGAACTGTAGAACGTTCACGAAAAGGTTATCAGGTTAAAGTCAGACGTACTAATGTTTTTGTCTTTCGAGACACCAAACAACATGTTCACTTTCAAAACATGCATTTTTATCTGTATCTGATACTTACTATAAGACCTCTGTGACATAGCTCTTTGTTATCATAGATGATTTACAAGCACACCAAGTTTCAAGAAATACACTCCCTTAAAAAGTTTGGAAAATATATTTCGATTGGACAATGTGTTGAACCCTGTTTTTATTTGAAATCTGTGGATTATACGACTTTAATGAATTTGTTATAATTTCCAAAAATAATATGCTTACCAAGTTTACCTGTTGTCTAACTATTTGATGGTAGTGTACATCAAAATCCGAGTTGAAGATCTTATTGGTTAAGTTCTATGATTACGCGATATGATTATCGATGGGAAAATAGTTTTCGACACTCCTATTACATGAACATCAAAATGTTATCACGCCCATGTCATATAAAAGTATTACATCAAACTCAAATGCAGGAGTTTGAAACATTACGCAACAGAGAGCAGAGCACTTTTGGAAACTTAAAATGAGGACTTTTATTGCTTTTATCTCGGTGATATTCTGCCTTTTAAAATGTAAGTTGTATACGTTTATGATAATTCCGCACTCATGGATAGTAAGATAATTTTTCAACATATGATAATCGTAACATTTATTCTTTAATAATGTTCAATAATTCACATTAAACTTCACGACGACATCGAATATTCATCAATTATAGGAATCTAGAGCAAAGTGAAAGAACTGCGCTAAGTGCAAAACGGAAAATAAGACATGTTTTTGCATGCATGGTTTATCCAAGAGAATATAATTTCAACTGCTTATCATAAATATCATGCTTTTAAAAATATCATCGTAGATCAATTTATCCCTGAAATAGGTTATGCATCATGTATTTATTCAGTTTTTTTAAACTGTTTCCTTCCAAAATTAATATGATTTTTAATCATAATGTTATTTATTTATTTCCAAAAGTAAAAGTAAGAACTACAAATTAAAGTGGATTACACACTATAGCTATTGGGCATATTATCCATGCAGTTTGAAAATTAGCAAACAAAAATGTGTTAATAATATCTCCGATTCAGCACGAGGACCGTCTAGCAATAGAAATCCCCTTACATTATCTTATTCTTCCTAATTCGAAAAAGATCTCTTTCAGATAAAAAGTAAACTTTATCATATTATTGTTCTATCTTAAACCATATAATTCGTATTTCTCTTATGAACTAGTACTGTGATTGAATATAATAATATGCTACAATTTAACAATTTCTCTCAAGGAAGTGGTGTCAATACATCGCAGAGATACAAAAATCGCAACAAAACACCATATATGTATAATTGTGTATTCCATAAACAAGTTATGTTAAATGCTATTCTAGTAACCAATGCCCAGGTAACAAATTGTACTGGGAGTGAGGATAGACTTATTGAATTTGGATGCAGGGCATTTACAGGATGTCGGAACGAGACTTTTGTAAATGTTGAATGCGAACCTGGTTATGTGGTAGATGTTGAACGCCTCTTGTGCGACTTGTAAGTTAATTGAAACTATAAACCTCTTTTAAATTTCATTTGACTTTTATATTTACTCTGCGAGTGTTTGGGTGGGACAGGGGGTAGAGTCGGCAATTTAATGCCAGGGTGCATGTTCGGAATTTTTCTGCATTCCTCAATTGAGTCACATGTTATTTTTCAAACAGGAATCACTCCTTCCACACATTGTCTACATCTTCCAGTTTTGCACAAAGAGTGCACTTATGCGCCTAGAAAAGACTGGTGAGAAGATTTGCTTTGAAAAATGTAAAAACGAGAAAATTCAGTGAAAAAAGTTCAGAAAATTTTCAAAAATATTTTTCATTGAATTTTCTTGTTTTTAATACATTTTATCAAAACATTCTTGTTTACATTCTTTTCTAGGTACATTAGTGCACTTGTTGTGCGAAATTGAGAGATGTAGACACTGTGGGGAAGGAGTGATAACGTGTGACCCTATTGAGGGTTGCAGCGAAATTCCAAACATGCACCCTGACCTTAAAAGAATCCATTTTGTAATTTTCACTTAATGTAGATATTTTCAAAACGGAGTCTTCTACTCTGTATTATAACTGATATGTAAATAAAATAAACAAAAAAATACCGTTGTATTGTGGGCAAAGTAGCTCTCCTCTTTGTGATGAAGAACTCATGATATTTGGAAATATGAGGTCAATGTATCACAGGACTTTGACTGGATCATCGAGTTTTCTTTTCTTACATCTCAGTCCTTCTGATTTTAGGCCAGAAAATGTGCCGGCACCTTGCGGAGGAAACAGGAACTGCACAGGACTACCAGATGGCACTTATCCGGATTATTTTAACAATTGCACCTCTTACTACACATGTCAAGGTGGAGAAAGCCGAGGAACAACAATTTGCCCAGGAGGTACATGTTCTGACATTACTAGAAGTTGAACATATTTAGCCGTGTGCATACACAGTATATCCCTCTTATACTGCAACTCTTAACGTTAAAATCCCATGTATCTCTTGTTGAATATCTGTACGACACGGGCGTAACGCTTATTGTCGAATTACATTTATTACCTTTTTTGGTCTTGAGGCTTGTAGCTATGGCGGATCCGGGGGGGGGGCCCATGGGGCCAGGGCCCCCCCCCCTAAGTTGGGCCCAGAAAAAACAAAAATTGGGCCCAAAAATTTTTGGGCCAAAAAAGGCCTTCAGGCACCAAAAAGTCGGCCTTTTTGGTCATTACTAGGCCTTCTAAGGCCTTATTTTTTAATTTCAGGCCAAATTTTGAAGAAAATGGGCCTCAAATTTTCAAAATTTGGGCCCACTTTTCGGTTTTAGGGGCCCAAAATTTTTTTCCGCGCAAGCGCGGAAGTTTTCTCTATGACCGACTATTTGGGCCCCCCCCCTTGTTGGTTCCTGGATCCGCCACTGTGTAGATTTATTATATTTTTAGATCTGGTGTTTGATGACTTTAGAAATATCTGTGACAGAGTGGAGAATGTGTGCGAGCCCTGTGGTACTCTTTCTCCTGAAAACTGTATACCAACACCTCCATGTGAGTAAATATAGTCTTCGAAGTGTATGCAAATTTCTAGGCGGGAAATGCGTACGACGTGTACCATCAACATTTGGTCCCTGTTCTTAATTTAAACAACGCATTTAATAAAAATTACGTGAATTTGACATGAAGCTTCGTAAATTCTTGAAAATATATAATATAAAATTTTCTTTTAGTTGAGCGGTATTCGGGTTTGTCAAAATTATCCATGGGGGAATAAAACTATAAAGTATTATTAATAAAAAAGCAAATATCAAGTTGTGCAGTCTTTAAAATCAATCGGATAATCAACGCCATCACAAATTACTTTGCATATCACAAATACACCCTTGGTATACGCAGCTAACGAAAATTGACCGGTACGGGTCAAAAGCTGGACCGGTACGGGTTAACGGTTTTATTTGAATTTAAAACAGCCATAACTTGCTCAATATTGACTTCCTCATGTCTAATTTGAAATATATGATGCCTCCCGATGCTTTTAAGTACCCCAATTTTTTACAGATTTTTAAACGGACCAAAACTCTCTAAATGCGCATTTATGCTATTTTCTCTCGAGAACTCATTTTCACGATAAAAATGTGTAAAAAATTGGGGTACTTAAAAGCATCGGGAGGCATCATATATTTCAAATTAGGCACGAGGAAGTCAATATTGAGCAAGTTATGGCTATTTTAAATTCAAATAAAACCGTTAACCCGTACCGGTCCAGCTTTTGACCCGTACCGGTCAATTTTCGTTAGCTGCGTATACCAAGGGTGAAATAACTATATTGGCTTTCTAGGTAAATAACAAGTTGTGAAAAGTAATCTTTGATGGCGATAAAAAGCATTTTTGACAGCTCTAAAGGTAAATTTTGATGGCGTGCAGTTTTACTTAAAACATTGGTCTCGGTGGCCATAAGTTTAAGTTTATTGGCCCAACAAAATATGCCTTACCAAGTACAAGCCAACATTTGTATGTATATAATATACATTATCAATAATAGTAGGACAAGTATAATCACGCCTAACCATCGACAACGTACTTAACTGAGTGTCACTAGAAGTCAGATAATTTGGTTAAAGATTGTCATTTTCTTTGTTTTTGATATCATAGAGCAAATGAGATTCTCCTTGTAAAACTTGATGTGGGCAATATCTCAAGGACGGGATCACTTACCAATTCTTGGTATAAAGGACATGCCAGGTTCAGTAGCGTTACCGGTGCGGTGTTTAGTATCCACTTTTTCAGTCTCCACTTGGTATCCAATTTTTCATGTCAACTTTGAAACCTATGATATATTGGAATGTTTTGAAGCTCCGAAAATATTTTAGATGAAGTAATTCATTTTTTCAATTTTGGCACGAAAAAGTATCTACGAAAAAGTTATGGGAAATTCATATTAAAAAAATAACTGTTAAACCGCACCCGACCAGTCATTATATTCGCTACGCATATCAACGGTTGTTACCTGTTTTTCCAACGATAGGTCGACTTAAGAAGCGTTTTTATTTTAAAAACGACATGCTGGGTCAAGAGGCTACTTACATTGAGACGAAACTCTTTCTATACTTAGGAAAATCAAAGTTAAAGTGCTAATTCGGTAATTTCTGTTTTTCTTTTCTCAGTGCAATAGATTAAAAAGATATTGGTAAGTAAAAATAGTATTCCAGCAGACTTCAACTCATTCCCTTTGTTCATTAGTGGCAAAATAAGATTTCCCGGGAAAAAACATGACGTCACGAACAGAACCGGTTATGGATTTTTACGGCAATGCGTTATGCAACTAAAGTGCCAAGTTAAAATTGTTTATGGTATATTGTGTTCTGATTGGCCAGAAAGGAGTAACGCTTACCGATATCACCTCATGGTCCAATGCCTTTTGGTTACAAGATTTTAGACAGCTTGAGTTATGTAATACTATCAATTGAGCGTGTTTATTTTCTATATTGTGTTCTGACTGGTCAAAAAGTAATTCTGCATGACTAGCTATATGAAAACGCACCACTGGGTCGGAAGCTCTAATTTAGGTATTATATTTTTTGTTTATCGGAGGAAAAAACGTGGCTCCAAAGTAGTCATCTCTGAACCAATTCCTCACTTCATTGAATGCAGTTGCAATCAATTACACTAACACTTTATAAGCACGTTCAGAGATTATGAACTCCAACAACATATTCAAAACCCGTTCTGTTCGTGATGTCATGATTGGCATTTGACATTGTGTTCCCGATTTTGAACATCAAATTTCACATTTATAAAAATATTTACAAGAACGGTACCTGGTTTGACATGTTAGCGGTATTAACTTCATTTAGAACGTGTATAAACTGTATTTTGACCCCATGAGCATCGAACAGACACTTTAAGTCTTCATTGAAAAACAACGCAGTCCAATAAAGTGAGGAGAGAGGGCTAACGTCACGTGTTCACAGAAAATAATCAATAGTGAACAAAATTATGGAAAGAAGCCCATGTACGATATTTTGAAGATGTCTTTCCTAAAATTTTCAAAAATGACACTGATTTTTCAATATTGGTGTTGAATGTCCTGTATTTTGTACACGCCATTCAAGTCATACACTTTCCAAATAAAGTAATTTCCATGGATTTGTTTGTTTATTTAGGAAACTGAGGTGTCTGGATGATGCATACTGATTTTATTAATGATTTTAATTATTTTTCAACAAATTGTCGTGTTTTCTAGTAGTTTTATAAGTTCCCGATCGTGTCCAGATGAAATATTGAGACGTAGCAATACTAGGACGTCTGGAAGGATCTCTGCGTTGCATCGTCGATATTCTAGGAGGAAGACCGGCTGATATTCAAACGTCTAAATAAATGATCGAATACTTACAAATGTCCTACCCATTAAACTAAATCTGTGAGAATGGGATGTGACAAAAAAAAATAAAATAATAATAATAATAAACGTTTACACCATTTGTCTTGACATCACTTATTTATGTGTATATATTGTATTGTATTGTATTGTATTTATTATTTATTATAGTGTCACGCCATAAAATATTACATAGTACTAAAACGATATTAAAAAACATTGGCCCTGCCGATGTCGGCATATGAGACACTTAACAACAATTCGATTAATAAGTTAATATAAGAATGTTCGACGTTTCATACAGAGTTTAATTACAGTCTTTGCTAGGGAACGTTGCAACAATTCACAATTCATAAGTAAGCAATACTGTCCTAGACTAGTGGTATCAAAGTCATTCCCTATTAGCGACCTGGCCTTATGCAAAAGCTCTCTCCTCTCAGTCTCATAAAGGTGACATTCTATAACAAAATGAATTTCTGTTTCCACGGCGTTGCCACAGAGACATAGTCGCTCATTAAGTGGAATGTTGGTGTATCTCCCAGTCTCTAATTTGAGTGGCAACGTTCCGCTTCTAAGTTGGGCAATAGCACGCCTCTGAAAGCGAGTGAGGTTCGCATTAACATAGTATTCCGGACCAATGGCGTGTGTCTTATGTAATCGATATGTTCTAACTTTATTACCATTAACATTGCGTCCGTCATTCCACATTTGACGATGCCAAAGCTCGTGATCACAGTTAAATAAAATATCGTGCAAATCACGAAGTTCTTTTCTGATGTCAGGGATTTCGTCTCGTGTTATAAGATGATCAAAATCATGAGTCTTAATGAGTTTAATTGTTTTTGCTTCCCAGGTCCGAGCTCGACGCATTGACCAATATATATACCTACGTGCTGTTCTCCCCCTGCTTGAAACTGTAGCAGCACCGTCATATAAGCATACGTATACAATACGAGATTCGTATATAGAGATTATCCTATATGAGGTTCAGGATATTGGGATTATCCCGAGGCAAATATAATATATTTGCCCGAGGGCCGCAGGTCCCGAGGGAAAATATATTATATTGGCCAACGGATAATCCCAATATCCTGAACCGACTATAGGATAATATGTTTATCCCATACCAATCTTGGTCATCTGGTTAACATTGTTCAATCGTGGAAATATTTTAGAATACTCATGTCCAGTTTTGTTTTCTTGGCCGTGGGCGGATTTTCCTGTTCTCTCAAATATTCCCATATTTATTTTCTCTAACTTTTGATTGATTAAGTGGATGCTCCTTCCCTTTTTAAACCATCAAACAGATCCCGATAGTCTGCGTTTTCTCCATTGTCGTTTACAGTCATTACGCGAACGTTACAAATTATGAACAAATATGCGAGCTGCGATTATGACGTTGCGGGCAGATATACTATATCTGCCCGCTCGGAGCGGGACGTAAAGCTATATCTGCCCGCTGATGAAAATATAAGTTTTTACAAACCGGCTTTATGTACCTGTAACACGTCCAAGTATGGGATAAATCGGTGTACGTCACTTATCGATGTGATATATAATACAGTGGCGTAGCGTGGGTATTTTGTGAGTGTACGCCACAAGTGAGTGTTAAGGCGAACGAGCTTTGATGGGGTTTGGGAGAACACCCCCCCCCCCCGAGAAAAATTTGAAATGATATTGCATTTGAGGCGTTCTGGGCGTTTTACACGAAACTCCAACTAATATGGATCTTGAACGACTATATATGGACTAATAACATGAAAATTATTGGCCATTTTAATTCATTTTCAAAGTGTGGGGCAATTCAATATAGAAAATCAAGTTTTCTCTAAATTTTGAGAATACGCCATTGAGTTTTATGCGTATGACGCTACGCCATTGTAGTATCTGTGGCTATCAAACTGATGTAAACTACATGGTATGTACCGATACCACAAGCTATTTAGCTGTACAACAATCCACCAAGTAAAGCGGTGACGTCAATAATTTATGTGTACTTGTAGTTCGCCCACTGCTGACACAATATAATACTCTTATTAAAAAAATCTTTCATTGTAATAGTTACCGGAAGTACGGTCACGACAGATGAAGTTTCTACAGAGCCCCCTATCATCAGAAACTGTACTGGGCGGCCCGATGGATACTACCCAGATTTGGAGGAGGGCTGCAGAACATTATACACGTGTCGTGATCAGGTCATGAGTGGCTATTACGAGTGTCCGGATGGTAAGTTATTTAAACGAGTAAAATAATAAGTGTTTGCATACGAATATATCATAATAGTGTTCCAATGTATCGACAACATATCATTTGTCTTTCTTCCCATCGAGTGTAAACTCTATTAGGAACGTTTCCGTGTAGTGATTGAATGATGACTTTGCACTCTTCACCTTTAGGCTTAGTGTTTGACCCTGAAGATAACATTTGTGACTGGCCATACGGGACATGTCCTCCATGTGGGGACGGTTCAAGAAAAAATCCCGGATACTGCAAAAACTGCACTGGCCTTCCTAATGGCAAATATCCAGACCTTGACGGATCCTGTTCAGGTTCCTTTACATGCGGCTTTGGCGTTATGACGAAACGGACAATTTGCCCACAAGGTAATTTCAAAAGCGTAGAAGCAATGCTTAAAAAGTGGAAGTAATTCCTTCGCTGTTTCTTTCATACACAAAATGTGATTTTATAAATTAATATGTATATGTCTGCTCTGCTTTATTTTTTGGATGAGAGCATGTCATTATTTAAGTTAATTTACTCTAACCTTGGAACACGTGTCCTCTAAATCATATAAATATCCATAGGTTTATTTAGCGATAATTTTTAAATATTTTTTATAATATAATAGAAGTTTTTTTTATAATATTTTAGAAGTTTTTTTGGATAGAGGAGGGACTATCTGCATATGATAAATTGATATAACTTTGTTGTGCAACATCTGTTATACAATACGATCGGTTTTAGATCCAAAACTTCCTCTAGCTCCTGTGGTCCCTAGGACCACATGCTTTCATCGGGATGAACCCTGTATTCAAAACCTACTCACTTGTGGAAATACATTTACAACCTGCTTTCTTTATCCCAAACACATCAAAGTATTGGACCATTAAATACATCCAAACCCCCCAAAGGATAACCTCAGTGAACTGTAGTTTTAACAACGGTTACGATCAGAACAAATAAAAGGGGGAAATGAAAACATTTAACCTGTGTACAGATTTTGAATACATGCTTTCAATTAAGCTATCTCAACTTATATATTCCATATCATATGTTATTTGCATAGGTGAAGTGTACGACCCAGAAAGAGGTGCATGTACTGCTGAGGTGGAAGACGTCTGTCCGCCATGTTATAACGGATCTGGTAGTCCTCCCGCGCGATGCCCTACTGAAGCTCCCGCCGTACAGGAACCTGGTGTATAATCTATCAGCTAATGACAATGTGCAATACTACAATACTATAGACATTTTGTATTAAGAACATAAGAACAATACAAATTATATCTGTCAAATGGTTTAGTTTTTACTTTTAGGTGCTATATGGAAATAAAGATGGCAGAATTATGCGTATATAATGTCGCTTGTACATGTAGAAACAATATGTCACCTTTTGATAATTGTAATAGACCAGAAACTTGTACAAGATATGAGATCACCACTTTTGTTGGTGATATAACAATGGCTCCCAAAAGAATATGAGCATTTCTGTAACAAGCAAAATAATTATAGGATATTCTATGATTTTGAGGAATATCATTTTATCTACGAGGTGATATTGATATCTGTACGAGGAGATTAAAATGATATTCTAAAAAATTCATAGGATGTTCTTATATCCTACACTAACTAGTAGTGTACTAAACGTATAATGCCATTTAAAATTAAATTTCATGTGAAATAGTACTAGTTCAATTTGACGGCAAATCAACAAGCGGAGAATATCGTCAAAATATTCTTCGCATATTGGTTTTTCCAAAAAGTATATCGTCAAGGGATTTTATGGCTATGATACGAAACATGGTCCAAAATGCCAGCCTCATCTCATGACTACGGGTTATCTTTAAGATAATGTCAACACGTACAACCCTAGTAGCATCAGAGTTGAAATAAGGAAGTTGGAGAAAAATGAGAGTCATTGCATAAGATTTCTGTTACCGTGAACTTACAACCTCAACCGACCGGTGCAAGTCTGCCTGAAGAGACGAGGCTGGAATTTGGTGCATGTTTTGTAAAATGGCCATAGAATTGTGACCACGAGAAATGGACCCATGAAACATGGTAAAGCGCAAAAAGATTTTACAAGGTTAAATTAACCAAATATGATTTCAACTCATACAGAATGAATGAGTAATTAACATTACTTTGGATAACATTTTTGTCTCACCCTGTTATTCATTCTGTTTTCACACTTATTCATTTCAGTCTGCCCAGACAAAAATCTAGGTTGAATACTCAATTCAGCTACATGTAAAATGACACATATGTTTTATACACAATACTGATAATTCTTCATTATTTCACGAAAATATTACCAAAAAGTAGGTTCACAATTAACTTTCCCCTTTACAGTTTAAATCATGTCGAAAAGTTCAATATAACTTTGCACTAAAAATTATTACAAGGCCTGCATGTTTTGGTGAAAATTGCGTCAGAATTAGGGAAAATTGGTGATGGGTGGATTAGGGACAGCTTAAGAGATAATCCAGTCAACTTGATTATCATCCTTATGTCATTTATTGAAGATAAGACATGGATCTAACAGAATCATTTGTTTTTGTATTCTTCCAAACTAAAATTAAAGATAGCCCTTAGAAAATGCTTGCCATATCTTACGTGGCTTTTTGTTAATTTATTCTTTCCTCGGTGCCTATCTATGCAGATCAAACGCACCTTCAGGTCATTTCCAACTATACGTTGAACTGTTCAATACCCCATGTTGCCTCTGTTTGCTAATTTCCACAGTGACATTGTTCTCTCTTCATAGAGTTATTCTCTGTCCCAAGCTCTTTTTGCAACCAGATTGTGGATGATCTTGAACAGTGACCGTGCATTCCTCAAAACAATACTACCTTGGACAGATTCTTGAAGCAGATTCTTGGAGCAGATATCACACCTTGGTGGTACACTCTACGATCCATGTATGTCTCTGACGGTGTCCCTTTACTTTTGATAGTACATAGAATTTAATGGTACTCCTAATGTACAGTGTTAATGTCACACTCTGCATCAGCCTCACTAATCTCATCTGACATTTTGATTTTGGTGTGTCTCGTGTCATGCAATGTCAATTGGCCCATTCTGTCATACATTGTTATTGTGAATTGTTGTGATGTTATAGTGAGCACAAATAAACATTTGTTTAGCAACAAACAACGAGCATCAATACCAAACTGTTTCAGAAAAATTGTATGATTTCTCCATGCTTTATTATGATAATTTACATGTTATAATTCAATTGACCTGCCTACCCTAAAGCAGGTTACCATGGCAACCTTATCTCTTAATTAAATTAAGATATGACTATTATATCTTTGCATCGTATGTGTTATTACATAATCTCACTGGTGATCCGCTCGATTACGCTGGTTACCGAAACGAACCGCGTTGTAGGCAAAATCCCCACGACGTTTTTTCTCACAAATGTATATCAGTATCATATCATATCATATCATACTGTAGCTGAAGAATGTTTTTCGATATTTTATCGATTGTTAGGTAAGCATGGATTTCGAATATTTCGATAATTTTGATTCTAAGTATCACTTGATAGGTTCATAATGAATTATGAGTTATACGTTGCATTTCGATTATTTTGATATTTACGATTATTTCGATTCTAAACTAATTGTTGATTGTTTCACAATGAATTTCGAACACTTTAGCAACGTCGATATTTTGGAGTATAAAAGGTCAACGTTGCAAAATGTATTTCGATTATTTCAATAATTTCGATTCTAGATATGAAATATAATATCTCCCTAAAAATCCGTGATGTGTTATCAATTGCTGGAGTTATTAAGATTCAAGTGCAAGAACGGAAAAAATTAATTCACCCAAATATTAAGAATGGTAAAATTCTAATACACAAATGATTGCATCATTGTAAAAATCTTTAGTTTTCTTCAAATAAAGTATATGCTGGGGTTATTTTAGTTATAAGAATAGGCATGACAAGAAAGGATATGAGCCCAAAATATTCTAAAATTGAAACAAATGTTTGTCAAGATGAAGCAGCAAAGAGCAAAAGTAATTGCTAGATCTGATTCTGCCACACTCCCCTCCATAAGTTTGGCAACCTTTTTCCCCATTGAACTACGTGTTAAAGCCTCTTTACGTTTGGATTTTTATTTACTTAATCGGCGATGAAATAACTTATAATATTGATGGAAACGTAACTTGACTTTATTTCCAATACCTCCAAATTTTCTCAATTTTTTTCCTCAATTACAATAGGTCGAAAATTGATGATAAATTTGATGAATTTTTGAAAATCGTCATTCCCATGTAATCCAATGGGAAATGGAGGGTTCGGGGCAAATCAGAAATCAGGATATCTTTTCAGTAAAAGATTCAGCAAAAAATATTTTCATATAGGAAATTGAATTGTCTAACTTTTTTGAACACTAAGTGTTTAGTTTATTTGATGAATATTAAAGTTACAGCGCTTCAAAGTCATTTTTGAAAATAAATTTCCGCCTCCTGTGTTATTTCAATGGGAGAGTTTTTTTGAAAAACAATTTTGACTTTAAAGCCCTATAACTTTGTTGAACCTGAAGAAACATATCAATTTTTGTTAAATAAAGTTAGCAAATTCAATTGTCTGCCTAACTCGTATTTTTTGCAAGGACTCGGTTGGATGGATATTCTGTCATATGACTTGCGGCAAACCTACCATTTCCCATTGGTTAACATGGGAATCTCGATTTTCAAAAATTCATCAAATTTATCATCAATTTTCGACCTATTGTAATTGAGGAAAAAAATTGAGAAAATTTGGAGGTATTGGAATTAAAGTCAAATTACGTTTCCATCAACATTATAAGTATTTTCATCCCAGGTAATTAAATAAAAATTCAAAGGTAAAGAGGCTTTAACACGTAGTTCAATGGGGGAAAAAAGGTTGCCAAACTTATGGAGGGGAGTGTAAAAGTTGACGTGTTGGGTACTCAATGATATTCACCCATTTGAATAGGATAACTTATAAAACAGAAATTTTATATACTTCATTCTTTACACCCCAGTCACATGTGTCGTACATTGGCCGTACGTTGACAGCAGATCAATTAAACCAACGAATTTCTGCGGCGAGCGGTTGAAGTACGGCGTATCCAGTTTTCATAGAAGAACTCGCATTAGAGGGCGTAGGAATTCGATTACATAATATTACACGCAATTTCAATTGATTCATATATGTACAGGATGACCCGATCAACATGAGTGTTTTTTATTGAGCTTTCATTTCTATCCCAGCATACATGTACCTTATTTTGATGATGATTGTACACTATTGCATAGGTAATTCAATTCTTTAATAACAACATTGTTTTAATTTGTTTCATTCTGTCCTCTTGATGAAATTTCTATTCATGATACCTTATTGGAAAACATCAAACCATATATTTTTCACGAACGTGTCACGCGGGACATGCTACATGAGCAAAACATGAAGATTTATCCTGGTGTTAAAGGTGTATTCATTTGCATGGGCATCTCTGCATACGTAATTCGTATTACTCCACATAGATACTTACATTGGAATCTTGTTTACATTCTACCACAAACGCTACTAACTTGTACAATCATGTAATAAAATCAAAATCCAGGCACCCATTAAATTTGGAATTCTATGAAAAATTTCCTGCAAGGGAAGGCATTTTCAATATGACCACTCAATTCAAAATAGTCGCCTTTCTTGTTAAAAATGTAATCTTTGATAACTCAAATACTAGTTGAAGAAAAGATTTTAAAGATTGCCGCTGAATTTTAAAATATGCGCCACTTTTCGTAAAAATTGAAAACGTTGATAACTAGAATTCTAGTGGACGAATTTGGTTCAAATTTCATATGCTGGTGTCTTTGAGACAAAGGGGCTCTCCCCATAAAAAAATTTCGAGAAGCTGAATTACAAAATTTTAAAAATTCATGAATTGTATTTTTCCGTGATTAAATAAAGTGCGCCACGAATAGACAAGTACATAAATTAAACACTTTATCCACATAAGTTTATTCGCGTAGTACCACCACCAACATTTGATGTATATATCGACAACACGGGAGCTTGATAAGGTGCAGGGTGTTTGTAAAATGAAGACTTATATCATCCTTGAATTCATGTTCCTATTGGCATAGGTTTTAACAAGGGTGGTCATTTACATGAGCACGAACGCAGACAGTACTTCTTGGACACCCCGTAATAGAACTATTTCGTCGTAAAATTAATTCTGAAAGACGTCTTCTCAACGGCCTCATCTTAAGTTCCTCAGTTGTCCTAGAAGAGTCGTTCGTTCCATTTGTCTCGCCATGTATTGATTTACACGGCAACATATCTATTAATCCATCTCTGATCTTTTTATTCATTCCTACGTAAACAACAGGATTCCAAACAATGGCTGATTTCGCTAGTATTGCGGGTATGACAGCCGCTGTGGTGGGAATATCTCTGGGGTTTCCCGTCGCTGCCCAAAGTGACACAACGGAATAAGGGGTCCAGGAAAGTAAATAAGCACCTGCAAAAATTTTAATGTAAGAGAATACGAAGTGTTGATGGAATTTTTTCTGAAAATGTCAAACATGCTTTGTTTGCAATGCCTAGGAAGTAGGTCGGGATAAATAACTTGATTTAATTCAAACAGGTAGTATCTGTTGAATGGCGTATCAAAAATTATGTTATCTTAATACATTGAGAATCAAGAAAAATGTCGTTGCGACCCCGAGATGCAATGTGTATGTTGTATACATTCAATAATGTATACCTAGAGGAAAATAAAACATGGTTTCCAAGACAGTGAAATGTAATTACCATGTCTCCCGGGGCCAGTCTAGTTCCGAAGCGAACATAATACAAACTGCTCCAGTTTATCCGATCGTTATACAGGGTGTCAAAAACAACGGCACCCCCCTCTACAGCAGAAGTCCTCAACGTTACATATCGTGTCATTACTCATTTGAAAGATAATTTAATAAAACTTTACAACTAATAAAAAAGCTACATTGTTTCAAAGTTTGCTACTTCAGTACTTTGTTTACTACTCTGTTACTGGTTTAAAGGCAGAATCTGATCTATAGGGGGTGACAATATTACAAGCAACATGTATAATTGACCTACCAATCTATTCGTTACAATATCAAATACAATATCTCCAAACAGATTCACAATATGTTATAAATTGGTGAAGTTATTAATGATTCAAAGTTCAAAAATGAGTGAAAAATGTTTAAATTCTCCCAAATAATAAGAATGGTAACCATTCTTATTGAAAAGTAATACATTATTGTAAAAATCTTTAGCTTTCCTGGAATAAAGTATGCACTTTTGTGATTTTTAGAAAATAGACATGACAAGGAACGACATGAGCCAAAAATATTCTAAAATTGAAACAATTGTTTGTTTACCCCCCTATCACACCAAACTAGTTCTTACCCGTTATTGCCAGTCCTAGGAAAACGTCGTAAAACGGGCTCAATCTGGCTGTTGTCTGGAAATATGTCTAAAATAATTAGCTACTTCGTTCATAAACAGTCGTCAATACGTCCATCTCATTCGCACTTCGTTCAGGTCGCACCACGTCGGTGTGCAACGTCGTATAACGCGTCCCTTAGTCTAGAAGGTCATCATGACCTGATTACAGAACGGTATGGTCGCCATCGAATTTTGAATTGATTCAAAATTCTAAATCACATTCCCCGTCCGGGAAAGTCCATGAAGTTTGTAAACAGACTGTAGAACGTCGTAGCTTCGTTCATTCCGTTCGCACAGAGTTTAAAACCAGTTTTGAAGAACGCAGTGGTAACCTGCTTGGGGTGTGATAGCTATATTTTTGCTAACTCGTTGATAAATACGTTCTTAATCAGTTTTAACGCGTTTGCAATTAGTTCTACCTCGTTCTCAATACGTCCTCAGACAGTTCAACTTGTTGTAGAAACGTCCCTAGTAGGATTGAAGTACGACGGTTCCGTTCGTAGTACGTCCAGCTCGTCGTTAGTAGGTTGTCACTCGTTCTAATTGTAGAACGTGACGACCAATAGATCATTTTGAGCATGTTCTAAGTTCTAGAGGACCTACCCGTTCGAGTACGTTCGATGAAGTTTGTAAATAGACCCCAAACGGTTGTAAGTACATCCAGTCCGTTCGTTCACAGTTGAAGCCCGTTTTCGAGAACGTAGTGAGAACAAGTTTGGTGTGATAGTACGGTTAGCCTTCTCGCTATATCAGATTCTCTAGATCTCTTTAAGGTGAAAGTAGAATATGAAAGAATTAACCAAGATTTCAACCATTGAACATATGAGTCCAGTTCTGAAAACAGAGTATAGAAATTGATGGACAAAGAGCCTATTGAAAATAAATACACTAAGGATGTTATTCTGAAAAATCTGAGGAAAGTGCTTAAAGTGTCTCACATATTCGATCAAAATTTGCCATGCAAACATGTTAGTCTACTTTACTGGCCCCCCTTGCTGTAACAAGGAACCCAAAACACATTAAAACGTAAACATAAACCAATTAGTCACTTCACTATGAAAGTGAGGGGTGTACGCTGTGTGCATGGACTAACACAATATCAGTGGTCATTTACTGTGTCAACTTAGTAACCCTTGCATATCGTGCTCACTCAAGTATTGAATTTTTATGATCTAAATGTTTGTGGTTTATAAAAAAAAGTGATATGTTTTAGTTAGAAATACATATAAATATATTCATTCAAACAGCACTAGAATGCGGGAAGAAAGAGCAATGGTGACAAAATGCAGACAGAATTTTCTATAAGGGTTTCAAACATTTCTAAACACAATCATACATGTACTTCATGTGTACTGTTATTTTTAGTGCTATATTTATAGATATAATTTCACGTATTAAAATCATATTTTCCAGCAATGACTTCAAATTCGGAACCACACCCATATTACATTTTCTTCAATAACTCCAAACATGTGTAAACATTGACCATGTGCATATAAATTCAGAGCTCTTTCCTATTCGAGTACCTCATATACCCCTGCATGGATTTGAGTTGGATTCGCCTTTTATACGTGAGCCGACACACTCGCAAACGCTGATTGGATAAAGATTGCGAGAATCTTTAAAGGATAATGCAATGCTACACTTTATTTGATTCTTTACTGATATCATATCCATCCAGATTAGCTGCTGTCCGAGCAACAGCTGGTGGCCATACCAACTTCTAAGAATCAACTGTAAATCTATAAAATTAATATATGATATAAAGCTGAAATTTCTCTGGTAACTCCAGAATTATTTTTCTTTAAAATGTGATATGACACACCATGTAATATTGAGTACTTTTGCTGTAGAGGGGGTGCCATTGTTTTTTGACAATGTATGATTTTTTCTTTTTGGATTGTACTTGGATTTGGTGTGATTCATCTGACAACACAGCGATGCTCTCGGTTAAAGAATCCCAATTCTTACCTATCATCATTAAGATCGTCCTGGTGAGTTGCCCCTCCTGTCGGATATTGCGTCTTGTTATCCGGGATTCACTTCCAAATTTCTTTTTCGAATTGCAGCTTATTCTTCTGGTCTAAAATATAAATATACACACGCCAAACCATCGACAACGTACAGTGACACAATATAGGGTGTACATTTAGCTGTACGTTGTCATGTATTAACGATTTGGAGCAAAACCTTTTAAGTAGATTTAAAAAAATTATTTGAGGAATATCATGAGATATTTCTTGTTTACCCCCTATGTCTAAAATAATTAGCTACTTTGTTCATAAACAGTCTTCAATGCGTCCATTTCATTCGCAGTTCATTCAGGTCGCACCACGTCGGTGTGCAACGTCGTATAACGCGTCCCTTAGTCTAGAAGGACATCATGACCTGATTACAGAACGGTATGGTCGCCATCGAATTTTAAATCGATTCAAAATTTTAAATCACATTTCCCGTCCGGGAAAGTCCATGAAGTTCGTAAACAGACCGTAGAACGTTGTAGCTACGTTCATTCCGTTCGCCCACAGTTTAAAACCAGTTTTGAAGAACGCAGTGGCAACTTGCTTGGTTTGATAGCTATATATTTGCTAACTCGTCGATAAAAACGTTCTTAATCAGTTTTAACGCGTTTGCAATAAGTTCTACCTCGTTCTCAATATGTTCTCAGACAGTTCAACTCGTTGTAGAACATGCCGACCAAGAGAACATTTTGAGCATGTTCTAAGTTCTAGAGGACCTACCCGTTCGAGTGAGTTCATGAATTTTATATAGGCCCCGAACAGTTCTAAGTACGTCCACTCCGTTCGCACACAGTTTAAGCCCGTTTTTCGAGAACGTAGTGAGAACTAGTTTGGTGTGATAGTAGTGTTAATTCTGTGCATGCTTTTGGCGAAACTTTTAAATTGTCTAATTACGTCAGAACAGACCGATTGGAAAATGTTGGTTATATTCACATTTTCATTAATCATTTTTCCCCTTGCGATTGAGAGTGTCGATTCTTTTTATACAAATATGCTTCTATAAACTACACAATTTAGGACGGACGGGGATTTAATAAATGTTACCCCCCTATTACACCAAACTAGTTCTTATCCGTTCTTGCCAGTCCTACGAAAATGTCGTAAAACGGGCTCAATCTGGCTGTGGTCGGGAAATATGTCTGAAATATTTAGCTTCGTCGTTCTTAAACAGTCTTCAATACGTCCATCTCGTTCGCAGTTCGTTCAGGTCGCACCACGTCGGTGTGCAACGTCGTAGAACGCGTCCCTTAGTCTAGAAGGTCAACATGACCTGATTACAGAACGGTATGGTCGCCATCGAATTTTGAATCGATTCAAAATTCTAAAATCACATTCCCGTCTGAGAACGTTCATAAAGTTCGTAAATAGACCTTAGAAAGTTGCAGCTACGTTCATTCCGCTTGCACACAGTTTAAAACCAGTTTTGAAGAACGCAGTGGCAACTTGTTTGGTGTGATAGTTATATTTTTGTTAACTCGTTCATATGCAGTGTTAAATACGTTCTTAATCAGTTTAAACCCGGTTTCAATTAGTTCTACCTCGTTCTCAACACGTCCTCAGACAGTTCAACTCGTTGTTAAAACGTCCCTAGTAGGATTGAAGTACGGCGGTTCCGTTCGTAGTACGTCCAGTTCGTCGTTAGTACGTTGTCACTCGTTCTAATTGTAGAACGTGACGACCACGAGATGATTTTGAGCATTGTCTACGTTTTAGAGGACCTACCCGTTCGAGTACGTTCGATGAAGTTTGTAAATAGATCCCAAACGGTTCTTAGTAGGTCCAGTCCGTTCGTACACAGTTGAAGCCCGTTTTCGAGAACATAGTGAGAACTAGTTTGGTGTGATAGTAGGGTTAACGTTTTAGCTATAATTTAGAAAATCAGAATATGTTGTCAACTCGAGTGTAGGTTTTTCTATTTAAATGAATGGCTTGAACAATTACAGCGTTTTTCGTTTAAACACATTTTTACTCAATTCACCCTTTTAGGAGGCTCCTAACATGAAGTAAGCTTTAAGGATCAGAATGACAATTAACCCTAGAAACCCCCTAGGGGGGGCGTCAACATGACCCCCCCCCCTGTTAAGTTTTTTCCCCATAACTTTTTATTGGCATCTGGTATGGTCTTCAAATTTTCAGTAGCTGAAGCTACAGATATAGGACATGCTTTCTGAAAAAATCAGCAGAATTGTACACAGGGTTACTGATTAATTATGATGTAATCATCAGCTGCAATAGACAAAATCTAAAAAGCTAGCACTATTTCTACCATACGTGTTATCTTTTGAATAAGATTACACAATCTTCCCTCATCATAGTTGTTAAAGTTATTACACCAAGTTGTAGAAAATTGAATGAAGTATATTTTGGTAAAAGTTTGAACATCCTAGCTTTACTATTTTGTTATTTATTTATTATGATGTAATCATCAGCTCCAAAAGACAAAACCAGAAAAAAACTAGCACTAATTCTACCATACATGTTGTCTTAAGAATAAAATTATGCAATCTCACGTCATCGTATTTGTTAAAACTTTTATACTAAGTTGTAGATAATTGAATGAAGTATACTGTATGTGGAAAAAGTTTGAACATCCTAGCTCTACTAATAAAAATTTTACAAGGGGGGTTCCCTTTTGACCCCCCCCCCCCTTAGGTGTTCGTGTGACTATTTTTACCTTAGGGCGCTTCTAGGGTTAATTTAGGAATCATTTCAAAAGCAGCTTTTGTCTAAATCTGGGCTTATTGTGCAATTATAACGTTTAATTGAAAAAAGGAAGTCAATGATATAACAGGATTCTCAAGTGGCTGTTCGGAGTACCATTTTGCAGAAAATCCATAGATGCAAGTTAACAAATATCGTGTTATTGCAATCAATTAAACAAATCATTGCATGGTATTCAAGCAAAATAAATGGTCATAGCAAAATATTTCTGTCGCCATATCTTCGTGGTTATATTCAAATCATGTGAAACACTTTTACACGAAGAATCTTTTTTCATCCGATGATAAATATGGCTTAGCTTTCCAAATAATAAATAGTGTATTGTTTTTAAACCATTTACCATGTGTTTTCCCTTGAAAGCCCTTGCATCTACTAAGTACGGAAAGTTCATCGTATCCAAGTAGCATAAGATCGAATCTCTTGGGAATCATCTAAGGAATGCCTCATAATATTTTAATTCAATAATCGATGCAATAATGCAATCATATCTCTGGGTTAGTGTAATAATAGCACTCCTGTTGGCCACAGTGTTTTAAATTACCCCGAGCCCGATAGGATAATTGTAATCATTATTCTCTGAGAAGGGCAACTGAATACAAAATGCGGATAGTAATTCTCAGAGCCGGGATATACTTTAGACATTATTTTTGATTCTGATTAGGTAATATTAGCTGAAGTATTACGCATCAGCTCTATTTATTTCTGGTCAAGTTCAATTTAGTTGTTGGAAATTTCTCGCTTTTGAAGAGTTATGGAGTTATAAATGCTACACACTGTTTCAGTTTAATTTGTTTAGAAATGCTTCTTAGATGAAAAGTAGTGGAGGATACATAAGGGTTATGTACTGGGAGGTTTTGGATATGGGGTTTATCCAGAGGGAGATATGCATATCTACCTGGGGGACCATAGGGACCGAAGGTAGATGTGCATATCTCACGAGGGATGAACCCCATATCCAAACCGACCGTACATAACTGCTTTATCCTATACCAAGTAGGGTTTTCTAATCTTCTTTCAATTTTTATTCAATTTTTTTTTATTTTTTCAATTTTTTCACATTTTTTGAATTTTTTTCTATTGTTTCTATTTTTCTATTTTTTTCTTTTTTTTGAATTTTTTATGTTTTTAAATTTTTTTCACATTTTTTCTTTTTTTAAATTTTTCTTATTTTTTCAAATTTTTTTTCGAAGCGGGAAGATATGCCCTGGAGCGGGAGATATGGCGGGAGATATGGAGGTTCAGCATATGGAAACCTCAAAATCAGGATACGGGATATATCTTACCAACTTATCTCCCTAAAACTCTACTTGGCATATAGGATAAAGCATGTTATGCGAAAAAGAGATATCAGGCCAATCAGACAGTGGACAAAAGAAGGGTATAAAACGTGTGAGTAGTGGTACTCGAAGCAGTCCCATGTGATTAGATGCCCATCAACTTGATTCACCATTATCTTTCAGAATAGCCGATCAGATACATTCTTATACCCAGACAATGTCTGCCTTGCAAAGAATCTTTCGAGAACGAAACTGATATGAGGCTGTGATTTCTCACGGTGCATCAGACACGCTTTCTGTATATATCACGAAATGGCATGCATTCCAATATAATTAGCTACTTAATTGCACTGAGCTGATAAATATGCAACAGTATCAGAGAAGGAAGGAGCAAAGGTGTACAGTATATACAGCAACGCTCGCTGCAGTTGTTGCTGTTGTTATTTTCATTCTAACAGATATTTAATTAACTACAAGAATAAAGCGAAGTGGAATTCTTCAAGAAATACCATTCTGATACTCATAGCATCTTTCTGTTTCACCTGAAACATCTCAGGGCTGAGAGGAAATGAGATGTCATGGTTTATAATGATGAAGAAATACCATAATGCAGGACTAGGCGTAATTTATTTTATAAAAGGAGTGGTATCGATATGGTGAACTTTTTGAACACACGTTTCATTATCGGCTTCTTTAACGAGTAATTTAAACGAAAACAAACAAAATATAGTAGAGACATATGTTTTCATTTGTAAGCATTGTGAGGTTTCTTAATGGTACATTGTTTGCCGTAAAGTGCCCCACCTATTCAAAAGTCAAGTCACCATAGTCACCGTTATTGTTGACCAATCAAATAAGAGATGCTGAAAATTTACGCATTAGCCAGAACGTTTAGATGTTATGTGAAAATTTTATGAAAGAATATAAAAAACCTTTGAAAAGACACTTATTGAACGACCCGGTATATGACATTCAAACGTCCTGTAAGTGTTCAGTTACTCAAATCTGGCCACCGTAATTTTAGAACTACATGTAATACTAACCAGTAAATATACAGAGCTGTAAGAAAACAACATGACCATTACAGGAAATGCCAAGCAACATATAAATATTGCGATGACGTATGACACATCCTTGGGGTGTTTGCTCGCCCAGTTGACACTACATGACGTATTTGCTGCTTCGAGTTGGTAGGAACTCCAGCCAATCAGCGGAAGCGTTGCCCAAATTAACGCTGACAGTAAACAAACAGTTATCATCACAACATACCTTGTGTAAGACACCTGGAAACGAAAAACATATATCAACAGGTGCTGTATATTATAGAGGCCGATGGCACCAAACATAAACATGATTGTCACAGTTAATTTAAACGAATTAGAGAAGGTACAGAGTGCAAAATGTTGGGAGCGATATGTTCGAAAATCATTTCAATATTTTCTGTACAAATGTCAATCCTCTCATTTTTCTGAAATGTCTGATCAAATGGTTGCCATGGACTTAATAAGCGAGATTGTCCAAAGCAATACAATTGAAAGACTTTCTATTCTCTTTGCAAGAAAAGAGAAAAAAGAAAAATTATACAATGTCATATATAATGTAATATATACATATATGGTACAATGTAAATTAAAATATTCCGGGGATGGACCCACGTACAGGCCTGGGTTTCGTTTCTTTATGCAAACCCCAAAATTGCATCCTCTTGACAATATCTTGCTACGCCCCTGATATTTGTAAATGTCCTAATGTAGACCGCCCTTTATCATAGCAAGAACGGAAAAGGGGTGGGTGTAGTCTCCGAAAATGTGGGTCAGATTTGACAAGAACTGCTAGCATATATCAAAAATGTTAACGCCCACGTCAATAAATTCAAATAATTTTACCGATTCCTGCACTAATATTTTAAGTCAATAAATTAACTACGGAATCTCGTATTGTCCCGAATCTGCTAATCACACGGCTAATTGCATGGACTTCCAAATTTGATTTAACCATTTCGTCGCTTACAAAATCACAACTTTATTTCCTGTCATGGCAGTTGGGAATAATTGTAAAATAAATGCCTTATTAGTGGAGACAGTAATTGTTTTTAAATTGGTAATTTAAATAACACGACCGATTTCCAATTCAATGTGGAATCCGAGACTGGATTTGATAAGCCCGACGTTATATTTGTGACACAACCGAAAGCTCCGCGTTGTACGAGTACTAAAACATTCACAACTAAATACGAAATAGACTATTGGTATTCTATTTTCAAAAAAAATACGTCAGGTTAATTTTACCTTGATATAGCTGATAACGGTGGATAACTCGTAGTACTAGTTATATCGCAATTAGATTTACTCACCCGGCATACTTGGCGAACTATAATTAGATAGCGGTCAAGAGATAACATCGCCAATAAATATATTCCAGAGAGCCCCACGAAAAATTGAATAAAAGCTTCGTATTCACAACCTATTCGACCAAATAACCACCTATGGGCGAGATATGAAGCCGCTGATAAAGGAGTTCCTATAGCACCAAGAAGAAGATCGCAAGCAGTAATTGCAATTATGAAATAGTTTCTAGGTGTCCGTTGTTTTGGTTTCCGCAAAAACGTCAATAAAACCAAGCTGTTCATTATGATCCCTACGACGCAAATACAGACAAGACACACGCCAACAATAGTATAACTCAACGGAGAAAATCTATTACTGTTATTGCTATGTCGATGATCCGTGAAAAAAGTTTGCATGACTTCTATTCCATCTATTTCTGAAATATTTAGGTTGTGAAACCAATCCATTGTTGCTGTTGTTGTTTTTGCTGCACTATTTACTCCCATTTGTTTTTTTCTATAAAAAGTTACTCAATCCTGAAAATGCACTCAATCCATTTAAAATGTCCAAAGTACCTATTGTATTTAGTTTCCATACTAAAATATACCTCAGCAAGACATAGTATCCAAATTATTGTCTAAACACATATTGGATTGCCCATGATGTCATGCATGTTAACGTTATCTTCGTTACGATTATTTGAAAGCATCGTTTTGAATCCAAATATCATGTTCATGATCGATCGTCCTCCAATACATTGGATGCCAATAAACGCTGGACCAAATCCTTAAGAGCCAAACTGTTATTCAATCACTTACTATATGGAGCCAAGGCTGGATGTTCAAGCACGAGGGTTGTACTAAAAATCCTGAACCAAGATCTGTTGCCATCATATAGATGACGATTGTTTATTTATTAAAATATAGAAATAGTGCAACAAATAATTCTCTAGAAAAAAGGTACTGTAACATTTAAATGCGCAACGCTTACTGCACGTATATTACAAATGATATGATTTGTGGATTCTACACAAATCTATTCAAACTTCAATTTAGTTGAATCTATAGTTTATAAATTACAAAACCAGAATACTTAAATACTATAAAGGACGATTCTCGGTTTGGAGAACGAAGTTCATCAATCTAAATGAGCATTTCCCTGCTTCGGACAAATTTGATTTTTTACATAATATAGATTTGGGTAATATTTCTAGATTTTTCGCAAAAAAATATAAGCATAGTACACTGATGAACTTCTTTCCCCAAATCGAGACTTGTATTTTATTGAATCGGTCTAATTGAGCGTTATCCCTGCTTCAGACCAATTTGTTATTTTTACATCTTGTAGATTTAAATGTCCTCTTTTGAATATTCATAGTTTAATTTGGGTAATATTTCTATATTTTCAAGAAAAAAATATTAGTCCAGGAGACTGTTCTCCAAACCGAGAATCGTCCTTTGTTAAGATCAGTAGATAACTATAATTAAAGTAATTAAATACAAAAACCTTAATTTACTTTGGCTCGGGTCGGAACTTGATACATGATGCCAACTAAACATGTATCAATAGCATTCAAACTCACGTTCGTTCTCAAGCTAAAAAAAAACATTTCTGGATGTAATTTATCAAGAAACTCAAGATTATTTCTACTTCTTTCTTTAGACGATTCAAAATTAAAACACAATGTTTCTTCATGCTTAATGAATATAGATAAGCTTGGAGATCATTTTTGTCCGTGGAAACCTGTAACATGTTAGGTGATATAAGCCATTCTGTAGATTATTATAATCAGAGCCATGAGTTAATTCGTGCAATTGATGGGTCGTCTCTCGTATGTGATCTAGGCTCTACTTGAGAACGCAAGTACCGATTGTGTTAGGTGGAATCGAGTTTGACTAAAAATTATCGAATGGGGATTCACGAGATAATCTAAAGGGTCAAGTATTAAGAGTCTGGATAACTGAATGTGTAGCCAATGTTAACTTGAACCAAAGTTACATATTTTTATTATTTTTGTCAACAGATTTAACAATAATGCCAATAGTTCTTTATTTTGAAATTTTCTAAAAATAAGATTTATTGACTTTTATCAACTATAAGAGGCAAAATATCCTTGCAACTAGGATTTAATTAAATTAAATGTCTATGTAACGTCATTTTGAGAAACTACCTACAAATATATTTTACATTGCAGGGTGTCTCACAGGGCAACTACAACGCCAAGAGGTTCAATCGTTAAAGAAATAATAATAATTCAGATTCGTGTATATGCTCTTCCAATTGTATTAGTCATAAGATTATTCCTTGTAGAATACTACGAGTTGCTAAAACAAAAAGTACTCATCAGTTAACGCAAAATTGAAAGGTTTAAGTTCACGTTCACGTTAACAGACGCGGCCCTTTAAATCATACGTACGTGTAAGCGGTATACCATTCAAGATAAAGTGGTATCAAGTTCGTGAGTTCGATGAAATAAAAAAGGTTGCGATTGTCTTTCACGTTCTTACAATTACCAAACAGAAATTGGTAAATGGGTTCCATTCATGTTGGTCCTCAAAATGACCAAGACAAATAAGTACATTTTTTAATGGATGTGAACCATTTTGGAAGAATTTGAAGGTATTCTCTCAATTTTGATCTGACATGAAAAAAGAGAAATACTTTTGGACCTAGTATGACTTCGCCATTAGATTCCAGCAGTAGAGAATCGCTTCAATCAATTCGTATACTTTTTTGACGGCAAGAACGCCAGCGTAACGTTTTCAATAAAGTTAAGGATACCGACTGAACACTACTTTTAAGTAAGTTCCTTCTGTGTAAGCAGACAAATTAAATATAACAAATTTTGAGAGTGATTTATCGACAACATAATTCGTCTTAATAAAGTTACAATCAACTCCGAATACAGGCCTCCAGAGCTCGTACATTAAGCTTCTTGTTCTAGAGGTCTGTGTTCGTAGGATAGTGGTGGACATCTACCGGGTCATAGTTCAGCAGGGAGGATTGAGAGGCTAACCGCTAAATGACTTCAACACTACTACTAGCATACAGATTGCCATCGCTTATGGTTGGCCCTGCAGACTCTCAACACAATCGATGGATCATTTGAAACATTTCTGCAACCCGCATTGAGTACATGCTGTAAAGGTTTTTTGGTCGCAGTTGTGATTTGATTTCAATGTTTTTCATAGTTTATCCCACCAGAGACATATAAAACACTATTTCAAGTGTAGTCTGATTTACACATATCATTTTCAAAATAGGATAGTTATGGTTAAAAATGAGAATTGTGCAAAATAATTTTTCATTTCTTATTTTAACGTTCGCTTATAACTTTATTTATCCCATACTTGGACGTGTTACGGGTACATAAAGCCAGTTTGTAAAAACTTATTATATTTTCATCAGCGGGCAGATATAGCTTTACGTCCTGCTCCGAGCGGGCAGATATAGTATATCCGCCCGCTACGTCATAATCGCCGTTCGCATATTTGTTCATAATGTGTAACGTTCGCGTAACGACTGTAAACGACAATGGAGAAAACACAGATAATCGGGATCTCTTTGATGGTTTAAAAAAGGGAAGGAGCATCCACGTAATCAATCATAAATTCGAGAAAATAAATATGGGAATATTTGAGAGAACAGGAAAATCCACCCACGGCCAAGAAAACAAAACTGGACATGAATATTCTAAAATATTTCCACGATTGAACAATGTGAACCAGATTACTAAGATTGGTATTGGATAAACATAGTATCCTAAAGTCGGTTCAGGATATTGGGATTATCCCTTGGCCAATATAATATATTTTCCCTCGGGACCTGCGGCCCTCGGGCAAATATATTATATTGGCCTCGGGATAATTCCAATATCCTGAACCTCATATAGGATAATCTCTATATATTCATTTTCTAGCTGTTTATATTACTTGTATTCACTACACGAAATGCACTTTGGCCGACGTACTTTATTTATAAATCATTTAATGAAAATGTGTAAGAAATAATAGGGGATTAATTCTTACCTAATATAACACGTTACAGTATCGCAATTTGATTATAATAAATCAAATATGATGAATCATTGAATACAGTATTGTGTATAGCGTGCATACAAAACAAGTGCTACTTCACATACCCGACCAGCTTTAGTTTCGTGTTTAGAACGGGAGATATGCGTTGGTGTCAACGGGAATCATTATACTCATTATGTCTATTGAATACTATACTTGCAATTTTGATTTCGACGCACAGTATAATGCTTTCTGAAGAAAATGGTGTTTGTCATACATGTTCTAGCTCCAAATATCTTACGAAACGAGCTTGTTTAAAATACGTATGATAGAAAACCAGCCATATATAACTATATCAATGGCATATTACTCTAGTAGCTCATGCTGGTTGAGTATGCACTTCTATGTCCAGAGATTTTCTCTTCAGAAATCATCTATGTGAAGGTCATTGATCAATTTTGGCTTGGTAACATATTTGCCACTGAAGGCGAAATAGGTCAAATGGCCACGCCCTATTTTACGCAAATACTCCCCCCCCCCATTTTTGCATCTCCGGAACCGTTGGACATAGAAGGTTGTGTGACCACTCAAAATGTCCGGAATGGCCACATTATAGGGGGTCAATAATACATTTGTATTTAAAAAAGTCAATGGTTCTCAAGATATTTCCCAAAAACTGATTTTAGAATGAAAACTCCACTATTTTCTCTTTGATCCTGTCCCTAGCTCCGATTTCGTTACTCGGCTGGGAAAAAAGGTTTGTTGGTATCATTTTGTTCCAGACACTCTCTAGAATAAATTCATCTTGTGTGGAATAAAAATGTGTGGTCAACGAATTCGCTATGGGCAGTTAAAGAGGCGCCATCTATTCATTTTCAAACAGGGGGTAGGGGTATAAAATAATTTTTTAACACATTTTAATAGTAAAATGACATTGAAATACTAATAAAATCTTATCAAAAACATTATTTACAATCAGTATGAATTTTCTTGTGTGGATTAGGGTGAAAATAAGGGCATATCTTGAAATTCACTACAGGGGCGCCACCTATTTCTGTACATGTACTAACTTATTTTAGATTCGTTAAGGTACGAAATGTACTGAAAAAATTCATTCTGAAGGACCTATACATGTTCATACCACATACTTAAAATTAGATCAATAGCTTATGTACCAGCGGAGAAAAAATTTAAGTCCAGAGATTTTGTCTTCAGAAATCATCTATGTGAAGGTCATTGATCAATTTTGGCTTGGTAACATATTTGCCACTGAAGGCGAAATAGGTCAAATGGCCACGCCCTTTTTTACGCGAATTCTCCCCCCCCCCCATTTTTGCATCTCCGGAACCGTTGGACATAGAAGGTTGTGTGACCACCCAAAATGTCCGGAATGGCCACATTATAGGGGGTCAATAATACATATGTATTTAAAAAAGTCAATGGTTCTCAAGATATTTGCCAAAAACTGATTTTAGCATGTTACGCACAACAGTTTTCATCTATCCTGCATCATTTAAGACTGAATCCGCAGCTTCTATCTAGTCAGATCAGCGAAGGAAACAAACTTTTTTGGTTGTTGAGTTGAAAATTAAAATTTTTTAAATGTATAATCATATTCCTACATCTTATTAGTATAATATTATGACAAAGCAAGAGTACATACACCATTTTGAGTTTATTTGAGATACATATGCTCCATATTTTGGAAGTTATTAAGGTGACATATGGTCACCCCTGGGACGTCAGAAGCCAAAATGAGAATTAATAATTTCTAAAATGTACAATCATTTTTCTAATTCTTATTACTAATATTATGACAAAGCAAGAGTACATACACCATTTTGACCACATTTGAGATACATATGCTCCATATTTTGGAAGTTATTAAGGTGACATATGGTCACCCCTGGGACGTCAGAAGCCAAAATGAGAATTAATATTTTTTTTAATGTACAATCATTTTCTTACTTCTTATTACTAATATTATGACAAAGCAAGAGTACATACACCATTTTGACCACATTTGAGAAACATATGCTCCATATTTTGGAAGTTATAAAGGTGAGATATGGTCACCCCTGGGACGTCAGAAGCCAAAATGAGAATTAATATTTCTAAAATGTACAATCATTTTTTCTACTTCTTATTAGTAATATTATGACAAAGCAACAGTACATACAACATTTTGAGCACATTTGAGATGCATATGCTCCATATTTTGGAAGTTAATAATGTGAGATATGGTCACCCCTATCCTGCATGATACCAAAATTTTAAATTTCAATAAATTTTTTCTCCACTGGTACATAAGCTATTGATCTAATTTTAAGTATGTGGTATGAACATGTATAGGTCCTTCAGAATGAATTTTTTCAGTACATTTCGTACCTTAACGAATCTAAAATAAGTTAGTACACGTACAGAAATAGGTGGCGCCCCTGTAGTGAATTTCAAGATATGCCCTTATTTTCACCCTAATCCACACAAGAAAATTCATACTGATTGTAAATAATGTTTTTGATAAGATTTTATTAGTATTTCAATGTCATTTTACTATTAAAATGTGTTGAAAAATTATTTTATACCCCTACCCCCTGTTTGAAAATGAATAGATGGCGCCTCTTTAACTGCCCATAGCGAATTCGTTTACCACACATTTTTATTCCACCCAAGATGAATTTATTCTAGAGTGTGTCTGGAATAAAATGATACCAACAAACCTTTTTTCCCAGCCGAGTAACGAAATCGGAGCTAGGGACAGGATCAAAGGAGAAAATAGTGGAGTTTTCATTCTATAATCAGTTTTTGGGAAATATCTTGAGAACCATTGACTTTTTTAAATACAAATGTATTATTGACCCCCTATAATGTGGCCATTCCGGACATTTTGAGTGGTCACACAACCTTCTATGTCCAACGGTTCTGGAGATGCAAAAATGGGGGGGGGAGTATTTGCGTAAAAAAGGGCGTGGCCATTTGACCTATTTCGCCTTCAGTGGCAAATATGTTACCAAGCCAAAATTGATCAATGACCTTCACATAGATGATTTCTGAAGAGAAAATCTCTGGACATAGAAGTGCATACTCAACCAGCATGAGCTACTAGAGTATATGATATTATACAATGAGTGTAGTCTAAGTAACGGGCTCAGTAAACATGGTAACTTAACGATTGTTTATGTGAGAAAACGACATGAATTTGTATAGGCTAGGGCGATTTATACTCACAGGTTGACGTTTCGTTTTATATACATTGCTGAAAGTCTTCGGTAACATTACATCTTCACTTTTTATTAAGATCATCATTTTTCCGGATTTTATCATTTTCAGGGCTATTGAAATGTGGTTTCGTCAATATTTTCCGGGATGTTCAATTTTTCCGGATTGTTAATTATTTTTTCGTTTTTGGTCATTTTTTCCTGGTTTAACAACGTTTTATTCAGGTTGGTTGGGAAAATTCAGGGTTACCCGGATAAAATATGCTATAACAGCTTGTCAAATGGAATTGTTGACATTTTTCTTGGCTTGTATTTATTGTAGTGAAATCTCATCTCCCGGGTGTTACTTCATATATTTAATTTTCTATAAATATACCCTGAGAATTGAATCTTATATACCGTATATCCCATTGTGATTTGTTTGTATTATTGTAATATTTATGAGGACGTACATGTATTGATAAGTATCGTCAGATACTATATTACTATGTTTTGTGTATTAAGTGTTGTAAAAGAGATAACGCTCCTTGGTCTGTTAAGTACCCAGACAATCCATCGATATTATGGGAATGTTTTTCTAATGATTTCGAGTTTAAACACAGGCTTATCTTTGACGGTGTTTACTTTCACGTGGATATCTACATGACCAAAATATTTAAGGTATAGTGTAAGAAGTTACAGTTAAACTATTCTACGGAATTAAAAGAGATGTAAAGTCTCGAAAAGTGGACTGCCTGTGTTTTTCTTGCAGTCCAAATTTTATTGCAGAAATCTTTGAATTCATGAGAATTGAAATGGCCTGTCCTCTTAGCTTGTTTAGTTATAAATAAAGTCAAAACTATTGGCTTTTTTATTATAAATGGGTAAAGATCTCCAATTGACAAAGTAGAAAATGATGACCTCTAACCCCCAAGGTCCATGTGCATTATGGAAAGTGATTTTAGACAGTCATATCTTTCACCATGAGTACTTTCTGGGCATAAATACAGTGTTTTGTATTAAAATAATATATTTTCTTTCAAGTGAAGTCCCCATGATAATAAAATATCAATACAACTCTCTGAAAAATTATAGTTTGGGACCCCACCTTGGCACTTTTTAAAAAATGTTAGGCTGAGTTCTAAAAAAGGATCTTGTTTTTCTCAATTTAACCATTCCGAAAGTTTCTTCTACACTATATTAACAACTTCTGAAAAGGAGATTGGTATTGAAATGCGTTAAAGTTAAAAACCACATATCCAATGTTAATTTCCCAACTCGTACTATCCATTGTTTTCAGCATAATTTTGGTCATCGAAAATTGATATCTCCAAAACTAGACTTTCAATACCATTCTACTTTTGAAGAACTTTTAGACCCCTTTTTGAATCTTTTCATGTAATAAAAATCAGAAAAAGGAGACCCCCTTTTGAGTAAATAGGTTCAACATTTTGACAAAATTGTTGATGTGGGGTTCCTATTCATAATTTTTAAAATCGTTTGATCGATATTATTATCATCATGGGCACTTCACTTGAAAGAAAACATATTATTTTAATACAAAACACTGTATTTATGCCAAGAAAGCACGCATGGTGAAAGATATGACTGTCTAAAACCACTTGCCATACTGCACATAGACCTTTCAGATTATGCGTTTCTTTGAGCTTACATGTAAAAAAGGTTACTAGATAATCCAAAGAGTTTGCTTCGTGTGAAACCTGATTTTATATGGGATCGGATGAGGAAGAGCTACGCCAAATTTTTGTGACTGGCATTGGTGTTTAGCCTGAATCATTGCTACACTTTTGTAACCACTTCCGGATGGAGAGATTTTAATTGTTTATTGCCTAATCTTTTTCAATAAAATTATTTACGAAATCATACACGTGGAAAATGTATTCATTTTTCTGATCAATAAATTTGTTTATAATCTCCATATTTATATATATATAAAGTATTCTGGATTAAAAGAGTTATACAATTGTATATTGTTGGTGATAATGCCCTCTAAGTGTGACGATGTCCGGTGACTATCCTTTGAA